AAATCAACCCGTGACGCCAACTATCAAATTGAATTGTTTTGAACGCAGAGCTGAATTAACAGAAGTCTAAACAAATATCAACTGTAACGAAGAGAATTATAGTGACAAGGCCCATTATACTATATGAACACCTTGGGACGGGTCATTACGTCTTTATTCTTCACCCGATCATGAAAACATTTTGATACGTGAAATATCAACTACAGGACCTACAAGGGACTACTAAAAAGCGCTCGACTGCTAACATGCAAATAGACCAGAAATTGATAATCCTCTTTAATTTATAAAAACCTGTGCAGTCCTACATTTTACCACCACAACAAAGGAATACCGGAACCATGGTGATATATTTCTCTTAACACAATGATGAAGAAATGTATTTGTTTTGACCTTCAGTAAGACCTTCAGGGAAAATGTAGAATAAAAGGTATTCAGCCATCCTTCTATAAATCATTCTATGCGTTTCAACTGTTCACGCACTTACCAGGGTAATTACATCTCTACACAGAAGCTCTCGGCAAAGGCTTTTAGTAGTCATAGATTCATTCACTCGACTAATTTTTACGATTCTACGCTGTACATCTTTATTGTATTCCTCTAATTTGGCACGACAAGAAATGGGTGTGGTTTTCGTATGTTGTGGAGCACCTGTAGCAACGGTACCAGTCAGTGACGGTGACGCTTTCTGGACTGGTTGCGGAACTTGTTGACCACCCAACAAAAGTTTGGTGAACGCCGCAAAGATGACAAAGACAATGCAAAGTCCCTCGGTCTACCTAGTCGTCTTTGTTTGGACTTTGATTCAACTGGTGACTCAAGCACAAGGTAGGACATTTTTGCAAAATTGCCCTTCAATCAACATTACTATTTTACTAGCCTCTACTAGGCCTGGGGAGCTCGAGGCGGCTGGAAAGAGTAGAAATCGACCAAATAGAGATAACATTCTAAGGGATTTTGTCTGCTGGGAGAGAACATTTTGTTCGGGTGCGATAAAATGTTCTCTCCCAGCAGACAAATTCCCCTGGAATGTTATCTCTCTATTTGGCCGATTTCTACTCTTCAGCCCCATCCCGAAGCCTGGTAGAGGGTACTATTTTACCCATCCTGTTGAAATTCAATATTATCCAACTGAACTGTTGTAACACTTTCAACCATATAACTGGGATCGCAGTTACATGGTTAATATTACATTGATACTTAAGATATAATTAAGATATACGTCGTCAGTTGTAAAAGAAAATATGTAACATAAATAAGCCTATGTATGATATTGTGGGAATCTACTGTATCTGATTATTCCTAATGTATTGATACGTTTAAATATCGGTTATAAACCCAAAATTCACGTGATAAAAAAACTTCCAAAGAATTTCCAAAGATTTCCCAAGAACACGTAACCACCAAGTACAATAAAGGCATAATAACTGATATCTTAAAAAAAAAACTCTTGTAGTTTGATGTGCAAAGATTGGGAGATAGGTGTGCAATATAGTTTCTACCAGACTAATATAACTACGGCGCTGGCTATATATAGGAGAACATTCGCCAGGTGAGTTTGGCCGCCTTGTAGATCGACTGGCCGCTTCGGAGGGAAAGAAACTACCTTCTCGCGACCGGGCTCCCTTGGCCCATTCTATTATTTTTTTTGCCGAATTCTACTACCCGTATTCCCGTCTAAAGGCCTGGTTAAGGCTAAGTGCGCTGCGCCGCGTGTCTGCGAATATGGTTTGTTACACCGAAGGGCGGGTACACCGGCTGTACTGATGTAGACACAAATATCTAGTTATAACGCAATTTGAACCCATACACATTATATAAACTGCAGCTGACGTAGTCAGTTTATATTGTCTAACTTAACATGTATATGTTTTCAGCTAAACAGCTGCGTGATGATACAATCAATTATTTCTCAATAAGCAACCGATATTTTCTTCATTAGGAATGGAGACAGGGTCTTTCTCTCACCTATGCTTACCATCAATGCCTTTCAAAATGGATTGCAAAAAATGCAGAGTCTCGTAGAATACATTTGTTACATGTAACAACAAAATCACAAGGTTTGACAAGTAGTTGTCTATAACGTAAGTTGTAATGGAATGTAGTGTGAGTGATTTACATTTGATATGGGGATGGAAAAATATCTTTTTACCATAGTGTTAACTTTCTAAGGATTGCAAACAACCATAGTTGTATGGTCTTTAACTTGCTTCTTTATAATTAATTCATCATATTCTGTTGTGTTTTTTTGTCATGGTGGCTTCTCAACACATGGTGTTGACTTCTCAACAAATGGTGTTGATGATTTAGCAGTAAGTCTGTACCATATATGGCTGTCAACAAATGCCGCATAGAAATGAACAATACGTGTCCTTCAAAAATGTCACTTTAATAATTAATGAAGCAGCTACAATGTAGTATCATAATGGTTTATGATTCGAGGACACCTCAAGGATAAAATACTTGTTTGATGTTTGCCTGTTCAGAAATATCGATAAATCTGTTCTTTTGGCCAAAAATCAATGAAATTACCGTTGAAATATTTAAATATATATATTGAAGTGTTCCGAGCCTCGGATAAAAACACCTAGCATGGATCCATTCAGTGGAACCACTGTTGCCTTTATTTGCAGTTGTTGCAGTTATTTGCTCAACAGAACCATGGACATAGCCAGGAGACCACATATTTTGACGTAGTTTGTGACAGATACTTAGATTAAAAAGTAATGATCTATTTTATAGAAGGCACAAATGTGAACCTTGCAGTGAACCTTTTTTGTCTGTTTCTGAATGTTAATATATACTTTGTAGTTCAGTCCAAAATACATGTCAGGTAGCTCAAAGATAGTTTTTTAGTAATTTTAACTTTCAATGCTCCTAGGAAGAGAATGGGAAGTTGGAAACTGCTTACTGACAAATCTATTAAAAAAAAACGGAAAATCAATAAAATGCTCATTAGTTGGATTTAAAGTATCGCCTGGGGTCACACAAGTTTTTTGGCAAATTTGAACAAATTTACTCATGTCTTTCTTTCATGGTTTGTCCCATGTTTGGTTTCATTTTTTCACCCCACTTTGATTACAAATAACGTAACATTGAAGTTAATTATACCGGCAATCTTGCAAATGTCCCAACTGCACTACAGTCTACTATTAGGGTGTGTATACGTTTGTGTTTTGGTATGTATCTATAGCGTACTATGTTAACCCTTGTCCTGCTGTGCGCAACATATGTAAACGTGTAAATGGCCTGATAGGTCATCCAAGATCAGGTGTAAGCAGTAGTTAAAGATACATATTGTATACTTGTATTCAGGTGTATTCTATCAGAATGTAAAAAAAAGTGTTTTCACAATTACCAATTATTGATTTTTTTCATATATTTAGCATATCATTTTTTCCAGATCAGGCAAACATCAAACAAGCACTTTATCCTTGAAATGTCCTTGAATCATTAAGCCGCCATTATTGTACTACATTGCAGCTGCTTCTTCATCAGTTATTCAAGTGACATTTTTGAAGGACACGTATTGTTCATTTCTATGCGGCATTTGTTGACGCCACCTTGAAAACACAGCTATATATGGTACAGACTTACTGCTAAATCATCAACACCATTTGTTGAGAAGCCAACATGACCAAAAAAAACACACAACAGAATACAAAGAAATAATTATGAAAAAGCAAGTTAAAGACCATACAACTCTGATTGTTTGCATTCCTTAGAAAGTTATTAAAATCATCTATGTAAGTCTTCTTGAGTTATTGTGTTGACGCGCAGACACACTTTCACACAAGAACGCCACCTAAAACGTGTATGGTGACGTTAAATATGCGGCTTATTTTTCCGCTATCTTAAATGCCTCGATTTCCATGGCCGTTTTGGGCTAGTGTGCCACGCAAAGGCGGCACGCAGTGGGGGTCCGGGGCACTTTCCCCCGGTATATGAAGAAAGAAATTGTCATCCGACCAGGCGCTGCCGTACGATACTGTAGTATTCCACTTAAACCGGGCCTAAAATACTAACAATGGCAGTCCTCTCGCCCGGACAGGTGTCAATGTCGCACTTGGGAAGACAGCGTACCAAACAAGCACCCACTGGCCGGGGGCTGCCAGCCGTGCCGTAGACGGGAACACCGACTCCAACTGGTTGGCTGGAACTTGTACACACACTGCAAACGCAGGAGAGACTGATCCAAGCTGGTGGGTGGATCTCGGTCAATCGTACATGATTGCCAGGTATGTGTACAGAGTGTTTAGTCAATCAGTGGATTTACATAAGGATAAATGGTTTACAAACAAGCAAATAACAATCACACATATTAGATATTGTTAGCATCACGAACTATGTTTATATATATATATATATATTGCTATGCGCAGTTCTTCTCCTATAAACTTTAACATTCTCAAAAACACATATTAGAGTTATATAATGATATAACAATATAAAATTGAACTTTCAAATATCTCCTGCAAGTCAGATACTTATCAAAAGTTACACTACTAGATATATTCGAATTAGTCAAAGGGTGTTAACTATTGCTATGATCATTTTATATATTTCTCCAAAGGCGACACTGATTTTAGTTTTATTGATGACACCCGCGCGCGCATTAATTTCCGCCTTTTAAAGCATGTCATTCGTAAAAAGGCAGTGTGGTCATGTACTTTTTGCATATTCCACATCAGTAAATATCTTTTTCAAACCCCAAAAAGTAAACCAATAACAAAAGCTATTCTGAAATTAACTGTATGCGGGGTGTGATTTAGATTTCACAATTTAAGCTGGATAATTTTTGTTTGCATGCGTGGTTCATATCTGTCTAGATTTCCCTTTTAATCAGTTACAAATTTCGTTTGTTGCTTTAAAGAAGCTTGTAAGTGAGGATCCATCAACGTAAACACGTATTATATTGTGTAAAATAATGTTTAACGGATTATATAATTTCATAAACAATAAAGCGCCTTTGTCTTTAAAACAGAGTAGTCATTTTTAACCGCATGGACTGTTGTCCGGAACGACTCAACCCCTTCAACATCCACATTGGGAATTCCTACCAGGTCAGCGAGAACCCCAAGTGTGGTGGTTATTATCACATCGCCCTGAACCAGCCGTCCATTTCCGTCTCATGCCCGGGGATGATGGGACGGTATGTGGGTGTCCGTCTTCCCGGACACTCCCGAGTACTGACCTTGTGCGAAGTACAAATATATACGGGTAAATAAGCATTCGCTGTATCTATTCCAAGTAATTATTAGGCCAAGCTTAATAATTGCAACTTTCCACTGTAGAGAAAATTAATGTTCCCTTTTAATGGTGGTCATATCATTCGCGACTTATAAGGAGGGGGTCACCATTGACGCTTTAAAGAGGATCCAAACATTACGTCAGTTCGCAATGTTGCGTCCACATCTGAAAGCTGCGACGTCACAATTTAACGCATCACCGGTAAAGATTAGATCAAACTATTTTGTATTTTTTTGCATTAGGTACGAATGTTATGGAACCGATGACAAAATACCAATTGATTACTAGTATGTGTAATGAAAGTTTTTGGAACAAAAAGATGTTATATTCTAGAATTGTAGGTAAACTATGTTGTGTCTTAAGAAGCTTTGTATTTACGTAGTGAACACAGTTGCATTTCTGTGTGTGTGTTTCAGAAACGGACAGTCCACAGTTCCTCACCTGCTCAGCAGCAGCTTGTACTTCACTGTCCATCAGCTGGGTGAAGCCGAGAGCGCCCCTTATTGGATACAGAGTGAACTACATCATCGTTAATGACAGTCCTTCAGACGTGATCTCAACAGACTTTGGTCCTGAAAATGAGGAACAGGTACTCCGGGATGTCCTAGCTGACCGAGAATACAGCATCACGCTTGTAGCTGTTGGGATATACAAGGAGAGCTTGCCTGTTGAAGTCACCTGTGCAACAAGTATGATTACAGCATTTATATTATTCTACTTATAGAGTGTACGTTAGATCTCTAAAGTCTTGTATTTTCATGCCCTTTTTTGCCCTTCAAATTTTCTACGTATCCATTTTAACGTAATATTCATTCATCTTATAGTGACGCCGCCACCTGAGGACTTAAGGGTGAAAGACATTACGGAAACGTCCATCACAGTTTCCTGGATACAGAGGACAACCTCACTCGCTATTGGCTACAGGATGTGGATAGGGCGGAGTGATACAACAGGGAGCCTGTTCACACAGTTCGTGCCCACAAATCAAACAGATCTGACATTGATGGACCTCAGCCCTGGCACAGAGTATGTGATATCAGCCACAAGCATCAACAGGTACAACGAGGGACCAGCAATGGACGTTACCGTAGTGACAAGTAAGGACACGTTGTATTTTCATATAGAATGGGTCGTAATATCGACCACCGGCCATAGTAGTTAAATCCCCTAAAAAATGCAAAAGGTCTTCGTCCCTGCCATTTTAAACCCCTGACGCACATATTCAACCTGTCATTTGCCAAGGAAGAAGTCTTTTAAGACCCTACCTAGACCGGGGGGGGGGGTAAAAGTGCCCGCGCCAACTTTGATGCCACCTAGCATCTGAACGGCTAGCCCTAGAACGGCCAAACTTAGTGACTTTTCCTAGAATATTGTTGGCAACAATTCTCTATCATTGGAATAAGATAATAATTTTTTGTGTTGCCATGGCAACGGGTTTCTGACAGGCATTTTTTGCTAAATTTAGTACTTTGTTCGAATGAAAGCTCATCTGTGTTAGTACTTTGTGTTTCAACAATAGAGTTTTATGGGTTTTATGTCAAGTTACTCATGGTTTCTAATATTAATAACATCCCATATAATTTTATGTGAATTTTATCATTAAATATGCATAATTTATGCAAATTTGATGACGTCATTGGCCAAAATCCAAGATGGCGGACCATATCATTAGAACAGGTATATACAGGTTATTTTCATTAAAATTCCATCAATACTTCCATTTCTTTTTCCAAAAAATGTTTAAATGAAGGTCTTTAGTATGTTTTAATGTATTTTAGGCTTTATCATAAAAAAACTATTGAAAATTCAAGATTGATGATCCAAGATTGTGGATATCTTAAATATGCATGACGTCATAAAAACCAGTGATGCTATGGGCAACATAAGACTTAGTACACCATAATATTCTGTCATAAACACTTTTGGTACAGTTATGTTGAATACCATTTAGTTTTCAGGGAAAAACCTTTTTAGACGGTTTTGGCCAATAAAATCACATTAATGACGTCATAATGACGTCATATTACGTTATATCGACATAAAATTGTAGATATGATACATTTTAACTAGTACACCATCCTCTGAAAATTTGGTGGTCATACGGCATACCGTTCGCGAGTTCTGAGGGGAGGGTCAAAAGAGCCCCCCCCCGGTCCCCCCATGCCCCAAAAAAGCCCGGTCTAGGTAGGGTTAAGTAACTGGAAGACGGCCCAGATCACGCCCATTTACAAGTCCGGAAATCGGGCTAACGTTGCCCACTATCATCCGTCTTCTGTGCTGAGTGTATCTAAAACCATGTAAAAACTCGTTGGTAACCACGTATTGCGCTTAATGGCGTAGAATAGCCTTCTTACGGTTTACCAAGGCGGGTTTCGAAAACATCACAGTACAACCATTGCGGTTCTAAAGCTTGTGGAGGACATTTGGTCTGCTAATAATATTTTGCCGTCAGGTCAAAGTTGCTCTCTTGCTCGACTAAAGAAAGGCCTTTGATACTGTTAACCATCCAATACTGTTGTCTAAGCTCCAGAAATTGGGTTTTGATAGTGAAGTAAAAAAAATGTTTTACATCATAAGTCTCTGGTCGATTACGATGAACAGATCTGCATGGTTAGTGTTTACAGACGGCTGAGGACACCTGCGGGGTGCCTCAGGGGAGCGTACTAGTACTTTTTCTCTTCTGCCTATATGTCAACGACTTGCCTTAATTTCTAGAAAAATGCAAAATACACATGTTTGCAGACTACACTATACTATACTGTATTGCTCAGCGGGAACGGTAATTGTGTGTGAAAATGCAGTTTCTCGGGATATGAAGAGTGTCAGATTGGTTAATTCTAAAATATCATCATCCTGATTAGACAGCGTCTATGCTATTCGGTGTCACACAGAAGCTGACACTTGTGGGGAGAACCGTGCAGATTACAAATGGTATGAATCTATATGAGCAAGTTAATAACCATAAATATTTGGACATCACTCTTGGCCCCTTCCGCCAGTGGACAGATTTTTTTTTGTATTATGTGCTAGTGTAAACAATAGCCTAAATTGTGACACTCCTGGCTAATCATTGGTTTACAGCAAGGTTGCAAAGTTCTAGCTACATACAGAAGTCCTGGTGGTGGAAAGAAGATGCCGGTGTACTCTTGTTTTGAATGACTGGAGGTTGTTGTCAGTGATCCGGCCCACCACGTTGTCTGGAAGACTGTTCCAGATGTCAATCATATAGCAAATATCACATATACAAAATATTATGTTGCCTTGGTGCAATGCGACGTGCAAGACCCATCGTAACAAAGGAAACATTGAATACTATGTGTCAAATATTGTTGTTGCCGCATCTAGACCACTGCGCCGCGGCGTGGTTGCCAAGCCTTAATAAATAAAAATGAAAACCAAAACTACTCTAGCTAAAGTAACTATGTGATGTCCTCAAGTAGCTAAGTAGTGACGTAGTGAAGACAATGTGTGTGTGTGTTTCAGAAACGGACAGTCCACAGTTCCTCACCTGCTCAGCAGCAACTTATTATTCACTGACCATCAGCTGGGTGAAGCCGAGAGCGCCCCTTATCGGATACAGAGTAAACTGCACCCTCGTTAGTGACAGTCCTGCAGACGTGTACCTAACGGACGCTGGTCTGGAAAATGAGGAACAAGTACTCCTGCATGTCCTAGCTGATCGAGAATACAGCGTGACGCTTGTAGCTGTTGGGATGTATGAGAAGAGCTTGCCTGTTGGGGTAACCTGTGGAACAAGTGAGTATGGTTACAGCATTTATATTACCATTATACTTGTGTAATCAAGATCATATCTAAAGTCTGTGTTTTTCACGTTTTTCTCTTCAGGGGTTCTACGTATTTTTAATGTAATATTCATCCATCTAATAGTGACGCCCCCACCTGAGGACTTTAGGGTGAAAGACATTACAGAAACATCCATCACAGTTTCTTGGATACAGAGGACCAACTCACTCGCTATTGGCCACAGGATGTGGATAGGGCAGAGTGATACAACTGAGAGCCTGTTCACACAGTTCGTGCCCACAGATCAAACCGATCTGACATTTAGTGACCTCAGCCCTGCCACAGAGTATGTGATATCAGCCGCAAGCATCAACAGGCACAACGAGGGACCAGCGGTGAACATTGCTGTGGTAACACGTAAGAAGACGTTGTATTCAAAGATAAAATTGGCCATCGGGGTCTCAATAAAGAATTGGCCTTAGGGCCCCCAAACTATAAATAACATGTAAAGACGAGGTGCCACAACAGAACTGATGCCAAGACACATGCATTTGTCCTGTAGAATTAGTCAATCTTTCTTGCTAGAAATTCGACGATTTGTATTGTATTAAAATGAATTGTTGCTAATATTTGTATTCTGTAGTATTTATTGTTCTCATTTTTCAACCAAGGGAAAACAAGCCGAACAGCAGCTAAAAGATATTTTTGATCCTTGAAGAATATAACAGAAGAGATATGTTATACCAGAACATATGTTAACACTGTGCCGTTTATCCTCAGAAACGCCTAGTCCAACGGCACTGTACGTTGAACAGAAGACAACCAACACTGTCACAATCTCCTGGCTACCTTCTAAAGCTGTCATCACCACATACAACATAACGTACACAGGAAATGGAAGAAGTACTTCCGTAATGGAACCAGGGGATGTAGACAGCTGTAAACTGACAGGTCTGGTTCCTGGTTCTCAGTATGACATTGACTTGGTGGCCGTTAGCAGGTTTGGGAGGAGTCTCGCCGTCAGTACAAGTGTTATTACAGGTACGTGGTACGGCAGAGGTCCGTTAATAGAGCGGGAGATTGAATACAATAATTATAAAATCACAATGTGCCATAGGTAAAGATCATTAAGAAAAAGAAGGGATGTCAACAACATATTTCAGTTGTTGAATTTCGTAAAATCTTAGGGGGAGTTTATATCGGTTGGAAAGAACGGTGTATTTGTACAATTTTATCACTTTTGGCTTGTTTCTACTTCTAATAGTGTGTTAATCTTACTTTCTAACAACTTTAGACACAGATCCACCCTCACGTCTGAACGTCGCCAAGTCCTCCACGACCTGGCTGTTCCTGGAATGGACCTCACCTGTGGCCAACATTCTATCATTCGACTTGGAAATCTCAGACGAATTGGGCAGTACAAGAACATTCCTGAGGTAAAAATTAAAAATTTACTATGTGGACCATATATTATATGCTTCATGTTATCTTGATATATTTCAAATCGATTTCGTATTTCTTTGTTAGATGTCGTTACTGTCAATGTAACTAGTGGCTCCTTTTTGTACTGCTGCAAAATGCTTCTTGTAGACTCTCGACTATTTTTAGAAAATTACAAAATACTTTTTGCCATAGTTGAAACTAAGTGAAACTGTATATATTTATGTACATAATCTAATGTCGTATTTTACTCATTCGGTATCTAATGATAACGTTTCCATGTTAGACTCGAGGGGCACACAACGTCCTATAACGTCACGGATCTTGTACCAGAAACAACTTACGTCTTCAAAATGGGGGCCTTCAGCAAATATGGTCGCAGCGTGGACATCACTTATTCAAATAGTACAGGTATACTGTTTATGTTTTCGCTATACAGTCATGCGTTGCGTATCATAAAAGTGTAATTGTCTTGCTATTTTTCCTTATTTCATAGAAAATCCATTGTATCTTGTGCATGTAGGCAATTCATTGATTTTAGGTACTTTGAAACATTCTGTATTGAAGCTTTTTTTTAGATTAATACATCTGTTGATTTTGGTACATTGTTGAAGTGACGGGGATTTGTAACGCTTTAAAACATCACTTTGAAATCCTTTTTTCTTAAAGGATCTTTATCGTCAATTGAGGTCAGCACTATCTCAGCGACGGAAATCTCTACATCGGATAGAATGAGGACGACTTCCACCACTTCTCCGTTTTGGATAGAGGCTACAAAACCACATGATAGCGACGTGCACAATTGGGACTTTGAAAGTACATTTAAATTAAGTTTTCATTACTACCAATGTGGTTGTCACGGGTATTTACAAAGTTTTAAAACTGACAAATGTAAAGTGACAAAAAAACGGGTCCACATTAAAAAAGTTGGAAGATTTTACATTTATGGGAAATTTTTGCCATGAATAGTCCTGCTCTTGAAAATGTCAATGGGAAATTTTAGCCATGAATAGTTCTGCTCTTGAAAATGTCAAATTTTTGATAATTTTGTTTATGACAGCCATCAATCTCATATTCTTGATTAAATCAAAATTTGCCTTTTCGTGGACAAACAGGGAAAATATGCTACAGACTGTCTTTGGAATATTAGAAAAATAAAACACATTAAGAGTGTGATCTGTTAATGCTATTATCTGTTTTTGTAGGAACCAATTCTAAATTAACACAATCACCGACGCCTTTTGCTTTGGATGAAGACGCAATAACAACAGCAGAATGGACCACCACAAACTACAGTAAGAGTTTTGTACGTTTTATCTAGCCATGCTAAACATACCTAAACGTATTTGGAGCCCCTAAAAGACCTAAAACGTTGAAAAAGGTCTGAAATATTGTGACATATTGTTTCCCTCTGATATAAAGTTATATTACATGATTACATGTAATGTAACCTGTTTGTATGATTTATATAACGGTATGTTTCTTTCTTCCGCAGTAACTTCCCCTGGTAGATCAACAGAGCCTCCCCGTATCTCACTAACATCGACTCCAGGTATGTCATTGTAGAGTTTTGAGTTTTACAATATATTACTGACGCTAGGTTGTGTCTCATCTTAATGTAGATATCAGGGTTTTATAAATTCGTATAAATTGACTAAGATACTATTTGCGTCTGAATTTCAGATATAAACAAATACACAACATCTCTCAAACGGACCACAGAGGATCCGGGTAAAAAGGTGCGCAGAATTTTGGATTGTTTTTAGACATAAACATCGAATGTATTTACGATCGTATACTTTGCAAAATCTGCACCTTAGGTGTTTTATGTACAAACGTTTCTTTGCATGTACCAGTCGAACATAATATATAATCACTAATATGTCCAATATTGGAATCAAACTATAGCTTGAGAAGCTGGTACAAGACCTAGACCAAAACTTACCAGTGAAGCTTGAAGCAGAGGACATTCTTGCATTGACCTCCAACATTAAAGACATCATCAAGCCTGCTGATGCCGCCGAATCGGAAATGCCGCCGTCAGTGTTAGTGAGCTGAAGTGTACTTAGTCTCCTTTGATTACCCCCGGGACGGAAATATTGTTCTGGTGTCTCATTGGGGAGTGTCAGTTTGTTTCTGATTAAATTAGGTTGATCTTGCGTCATACACATGGCAAGTGAATGGCAGTCCACATAACCGGAGGTCAAAAGAACTACAGAAATGAAACGACTTAAAGTTCAGAAAATATTAGATGGAGACAGCAATTGAGGATCGCGTGAATTATCACTTTAACCCCGCATAGATTCCGCTGCAGTATAGTATATTCCACAATCTTATTGTATGGTCCAATAAATTTCCCGAAACCAAAATATCTTACAAGAAATCCCAGAGTTCTTGTTGGTATAATAGTTGTACCCATGCGTAGTAATTTGGGGTAATTCATCTGATGGTGGCAAATAGGATTATAATTGTGGTTATTATTACTAATCTTTCGCATTTAAAACAGCAAACCACTGCTGGGATCATAGAACAACTTGCCATTGCGGCTCGGGGATTACAGGGCATTTCGATAGAGAATATGGAGACAATAGCCGACGGTAAGAAACATTTGTTTTAGGTACACAATGTAGAGACCATCAAAATATAATCTCGTTTTATTAGATATATATCTTGGCCTTTTGTCAGTAAGAGGCATTTATAGAAATCCAACAGTGTTGCTTTAATCACTTTCAAAGTTTTACGTCACTTCCCCGGGTTCCTAAACTAATCGTCAGCTTTACTATACTCTACTCTACTCCACTCAATTATAATATTCATCATCATATACTATAAGAGTATACTATTCTATGCTACATTATACTATACTATGCTAAACTATACTATACTATTCTATACTATAATATTGTATACTATACAATAATATACTTCTCTCTACTCTAATATACCATACTCAACTCTGCTCTACTCCACTTTACTCGTATCAGTTACCTTTAAAGCAAATGACTTTATGGATTTTCTCACTTTTTTAGCCTTGGTGCAGACAGTTTCAGAAGCCATCGATGTGTTACCTAAACAGAAAATGCAAACAGCAAGTGGCTCCGATAATACGTTAGAAAGTGATCTTATCGACACGAGTGCCACCGATCTCTCCCCGAGGCAGCAGCTGAAGGTGTTAAAGGAGAAGAAGAAGGAAAAGGAAGACATGGTGAGGATTATAACAATATGCCAATTCGCACAATAAATGAATCAAGTTACTGATGACATTTCGACAAGCTTGAATATGGCATTCCGAAGAATTCAAAGCAACTCAGGAAAATCCATTTTAACACTATTAACGTTTTAAATTTGTATTCATTTAAGCAAGGAGAAGCGTTGCAGTCTATTGTAGCATCTCTGGACCAGGTAGCCGACACACTGCTGACGTTGCTGCCGGAGGAAGTAGAATATCAATCAAGCTTTAGAACAGAAAACGTCGCTTTGGATGTGGCAAGATTTCCCTCTGACAAAGACCTTCACATTGGCTCCGGGGATATTGTGGCATATATCCCCCCAATAAATCGGACCAATGCACAAGATATGTTGGGCATCAAGGTAAGAAATACGCAAAATACAATGCCTCCTGTCGTTCTTCTAGCATTTTTTAATCATTAAATATACTACTACTACTACTACTACTACTACATGCCAGTCAGACTCACAAGACTACGACTTTGCTGCGCAAAATAAAACAGGATTGTTCAGTTTGTTGAAGATAAAGTGGTATAATCGAGACAACGCTCACTGTCAAGCCAATGTAAGATCCTGCATCGTTTAAATTACTAAACGATAAGATGTACCATGTGTTTTTCAGATGTTAGTTTTCAGGAAGAACCCATATTCTTGGACTGAGTCGACAGGAGGACAAAATATCTCGTCGTCAGTGGTGTTTCTGACAATCAATGCAAAGAATACTGGAAACCTTATTAAAACCAGGAAGGTAAAACTAGATATGCCATTTGTACCGTCCTATGATAAACTACAGCCAGGCAGTCGGTCATCACACGTCACGACAGAAAGTCCAAACACGGCGGAGGAGAACACTAACGGAACAACTATGGCGTACCACGCCTTCAATGTTCCAGCTGATAACGTCATTCCGGTTATCCGTATGAACTGGTGGGATGTAGAAGCGACATTTCACGTGTACATCTCGTACGGCTCTCCTCCAACTCCAGAAAAGTATGGAGAGAAAAGAGTTATTAAAGAAGACGGATACGAGGCCTGGCTCAAGGGGACAGATGTTTCAGCATCCTTCATTCCCAACACAACTGACAATGGCGGGCCTTTGTATGTGGGAGTGCAGAAGTTAGGTGAGTTTCTTAAACCTTGATGAGGCATACCTAATGTAACTTGTATATTTTGATTAAATCCTTTGTCCAAATTGTCACTACGGTAACGGCTTTATACATACATGGTTTGTGGTAACTAACCTTTAGTCTTATAGAACGCTCTGCCATACACGTTTTACCGTGTTCAATACTGCATTACTTAGAATCGAAATGAAGATCCAACTAGTTTTAGGTAATTAGTCGGTATTATCTTATCAGACTTTGATCCGTCAGTAATGTATCCATACAACACTTTGTTTTCGAAACCTGAAACTGTTATTGGGCAAAAATTGATTTGAATCTAAACTTTCCAGGACCGGCCATTTCCGCCCAAAGTCGTCAACCGCAGCCCACCGTTCAGATCCTGAGCAGGGAAGACTACGCCCTGTCGATGTCAGCTGTGGGCTGCTCGTCTTGGAATGACGATACAAACCAATGGGGGCTGGAGGACTGCGATGTTAGTCTATTCAGTTAAATGAAATAATGATTGCAATGCTACTATTATTTAACCTACCTATAAGGTCTCAAAACCTGATAGATCACCGGGGACGAGGTAGAAGCTAAACTGGTCAGCTGTTGCCAAGATTAAGATTGAAAACGTAAAAAAGCTGTCCTATGCTGAAACAGCGGTATTCAGTACATGTTTATCTGCAATGGGCATATTGCATGGTCTATCTTTTTTTTACACGAGTATATCTGAATTAACACTATACGGACAACTCCTGATATAAAATAAAATAACAAGAAAATACGGACATAAAACAACAAAACTGGTTTCAAATGAAATCTATAAGATCTAAAAGAGATCTAAAATAGAAGCAACCAAGAGACAATACCCATCATCAACTTTTGACATCAACACTGCAGTATATCAGAATATACAGCACCATACAATCAGTGTGTTGTCTAAATAATTCTACTGCCATTTTTTTCACCTTTGAACCTATGACAGGCTGACATTAATCTCGAGGACGGGGTCATCAGCTGCAGGTGTCCCATGACCGAGTGGAAGGTCTTTGTAGGGACCATGACTCTTCCACTCCCCAACTCCATCTACTTCATCAACGCGTTCAAGAACTTCCTCCACCTGAGCGACAACTCCGTAGTGTTCTCCATCGTGGTGTCCGAGTTCATCCTGTACCTCCTTCTCATGGTTCTCTTGTGCGTGGACTTTCACCAAGTACGGGTAAGATTGAAGTTGATTTATTCTTGAACTTCAGGAATTATATTTCATTATTCATTTAGTCACGCTTTTTCGAAATCATAAACAGCACAGCAGTTTACTAGTACAATATGCAGAGTAAAAAGTTAATGCTTCAGGTGGTCACGAGCAACTCGTAGTTAATTCATGGTTGGAGTTTACATTAAGATTAAACATGCAGATTTCAAGCAAAAAGTGCAATCAATTCAAGTGACTAAAACAAAATCAAGTAATGAAATTATTTACCTCTCTAGTGACGTTATTTTTGTCAAATTGTAGGATTGTGTTTAAAGATGAAAACATATGGATCCGTTCGCTGATATACATTAGGAAGTGTAGAAAGTTACATGCATTTTTTAAATGCGACTCAGCATAAACATACCACGTGCGGAGTCACTAAAATTTGATTTTGAAACTGGTAAAATGATTAGCTGAATTTGCTGTTTTGTTGATCAATGCCATGTTTTGTATAGATAAAGCCAAATTGATGTACCTTATTAAGAAAGGCGCTAATATTTTATTTTACACACCATCGGAAGGCCCTTCGTCGTCCATTCACCCGTCGGGTAAGTCCCATTACCGGAGCGAGTGGAGGAGCAAAGAACCAAAGTGAGCCGCTGTGCAAAGTGAGTCTGGTCCCTCCTGACAGGATGGTCGCACGTCATGTCTATCAACTCACGGTCACCACCGGGTCCATGTTCGGGGCAGGGACTACCTCACGGATCGGCTTCCAACTCTTCGGGTCAGAGGCCAAATCTCCAGTCAAGATGCTAAATCCAAAAGGAGAGGTCTGTATTATGTTATTTTTTAAATTGATTTTACTTTGATTTTATCCATATCATAACTTACATCTTATAATATCCTTTTTCATTTAAATGTATCTGTGACACTTTTATATCTCATTGACGTTTTTTGTTTTATTGACAAATGTGGACACTGTGCACCTTAAAACAGGTCATGCTATCTATGCAGTATTAGTAATAATAACTTAAGATAGAATGCCGAATTATGTCTATGGTATTTCCTTTTAATTCGATTATTCAACGTCCGGTTGGTGTATATGATGTGTACATAAAACATATCTATGTATGCCTCATACTGTTTTTTTTTTAATATTTTGGACATCTGATTATCCAAGGCCAATATATATGCTATATATGCTTAAATGTTATATATAGCTTGGTCCCGAGTTATCTATGAGCAAAATTCTTGATACGATTATTGAAATTATGTAAACTTAAGGGTGAAATAAGAAGCTATGTCATTTACCGTTGATAATTACAGGCTTTGTTGCGTGGAAGCACTTTACATTTTGTCATGCCTGTGCGAGAGTCACTTGGAGAAGTGCTGTTGTTGCGCATCTGGCATGATAACTCTGGGGAAGGCGACACAGCATCCTGGTTCCTCGGAAGTTTTGTCGTCAGAGATATGGAAACGGGCGTGGTGTAAGACGCAAAAAGACTATACAAATCGACAAATCTTTGTTAAAATTGTTCTGCCAGTTTGGTTTCTTCTCTACACTACAATCAATTCTCAAGTCCGTCTTTTATTCTCTCCTGGCATGTTGGTTTAGTGGAATTCACTATGCCTTGTACGACCTTGTATGACGTTGAATAAAAATCAACTGGCATGAGTGTTTTGGCAGCTACTACTTTTTTTGTCTGTCATGAAATGGGCATGTTGCATAACACAATTGATACAAAAATAAATCAATTAAATGTAATGCTTTTCAGGTCGTACTTTACCTGCAATGACTGGTTATCACCAGAAAAGGGGGACTGTGAAGTGCAGAAGGTGATTCACGCAAGTACCGAAGAGGAGCTGACATCCTTTACTAATGTCTTTAACGAGGCAACCAGAGACGTGTTCTACGATAAACAGCTCTGGGCGTCTGCCCTTGTAGCAGCACCGGGTAGGCTTCTTCTTCTTTTGTCATCATTCAATTGATGTGAAGCATGACTCTTTCTCAGGTAGCTACTGGTGCAAGGAGCTTCGCTAAGGCTCGAATTTTAAAGTAGCCAGGCATACCGGGTCTCCCTTCTCGTTGTCCGCAGGCTCAGTAATTTGCTGAGCCGCCAGCTGCTCTACATCATCATCCGTAAGAACGATGCCTTTTTCTAGTCGTGGCCAGACACGAGCGCGAACCCAGGTTCTATAATACCAGATTTGTCGTGCAGCAGAGTGTGCAGACAACAATACCATTAATAAGCGTCGATTAAAAGCAAATGATATGTTTGAAAATAACATGCATGATTATTCAAATACATAATGAAATATTCATAATGAAAATCTGAACACCGATTCCGGTGCACTTAAGTATAAATAAATAAATGAATAAAGAAAAATGAATAACAAATTCCTCATGTTGTTTGATGAATAACAAATTCCTCATGTCGTTTTTTTGCCCGGAGTAGGTTCACTCTTCACCAAGGCCCAGCGTCTGTCCTGCTGCTTTACTCTACTGAACACCATGATGCTATCCAGCGCCATGTGGTACAAGGCAGAAAACACAACTGCCGACACCAGAGTGTTGAACCTGGGGTTTGTTCGCTTTACCATACAGGTAATATTCCTCGGTTGATATTATTTTTCTCCTTTTTTATCAAAAATCCCTGTGACAATAGTTGCATATGCCGTTCTTGGATAGTAAAACCTTATGCATAGAATAGTTACATTGTTATCGTAGCTTACTATCATATGTAACCTGTTTTAGAGCCTTATTATGTGTGAATTACATTTCGATAGGAGCTGTACATCAGTCTCATGACTATCCTGACCGTGCTGCCAGTCAATTTGGTACTTCTGCAGTTGTTCCGCATGGAGGCGCCACTGTCCGTTAACACTCCGGAGATATCCATCCGCCCGTCCAAGAAAGGTATGAGAATGGATCAGTGATAGCAAAACTATGATTTTTTTATTCATTTTCATCATGTGAACGCTACTTAATGTTACTTTTTTTTACAAATGTATGATTTTACTTTTAAAAAATCTAGTGTTATTGTATGTAACTTCCTTGTCATTATAAACAAGCCCAGTGATAATTTTTTTTAAAACGATTATAACATCCCGAACGCTTACTGATAGTACGTGAATATGGGTAACGTGGGAAGATCCGTGGTTGTTACAAGTAAATAACAAGTAATACTGTTGATAATAATAATTATTCAAATTTAATTTGTAGAGCCAGCTATGTAGTTCACAGTTTACCCCATTTACAACATTTATCTTGTAAACATTATGTTGACTATTAGGATATTGGAAGAGAACTTTCTTTCGCCTAGCAAAGTACGTGGCGTGGCTGACCGTGTTCCTGGTGTCCACTAGCTCCAAGTTCTTCGTCCTCCTGTACAGTATGGATTGGGGGAAGGAGAAAAGTGACGCCTGGATAAAGGCATTTGTTCTGTCCTTCATGGGGTCCAGTTGTGTAATGGACACTCTCCAGGTGACACGTACTTAATATTGAATATAGTAGGGACAAGCTTTAGGCTTATGATGTAGAAGAGGTTATTCTTTTTACCGATATAGATGATACTCGCCACGTCTTTTTACTCCTATAGTGCTGAGAACGTCTTTTGAATTAACAAGAAACTGGTTGAAAAGCAATAAATAAAAATGGTTTGGAATGATAACGATAACAAAGATTGTATTTACGTTGCTTACGTTGTAATGATTTTTTTTTTTCCTAAACAGACTAAAACTGCAACAAGAACCTAATGCCGTAATATACCATCATTAAACACGAACGAAACCATATCCATGCAAACCGCATAATATAAATATTTAACTGTATTCCCCGTAGATCTTTGTCCTTGCTGTGGGCCTGGCTGCCATCTTTAGTCTCCCGTTCCTCACCAAGCCGCAGGTTATTCTGAAGGAAGACCTGCAGCTGAACCTGTGGAACTCTACAGGTAAGAAAATTAAAACTTTAATTCTTGACCCCCTGTGGCTGATTTCTCTCAATATGTCGTCTTCACTTTAAATACTTCTTGTCTTTCACAGCCAAATGAAATATCTATTTTATGTATTACACTATGATGTAACACCTAATTGTACTAAATACAATGCAAATTATGTATAGAAGTTTGGTTTTACTTCCTACAGTTTCATCAACCTCAATAATGTGTTATTTTTTATTATGACAGATTTTCATCAAATTATTTCTTTGCCTCTACAGCACCAAAGAAGGTCTATCCAACTGCCATTTCTGATGTAAAATCGGTAAGAAAGAAGAAGGAACTGAATGAGAAGTCAGCATCAGTACTGAAGGAGTTTATTCTCCTTTTTATCTTCGTGGTGCTCCTCTTCTACATCGCCCAGGCGGATAAGGACCAACATGCCTTTGATGAGACACAGTCATTGGCGAACAACATTCTGCAAGAATATGATGCGGTAAGTTGTGGATGTAAGGAATACTGTTCATCTAGTATATACGCAAATGTACTAACAGCTACATGGTCAACCTATTCAGCGTAGTCCAGTAATTTGCAATTAGCAAGAGGTTGGGGATTGGAATCCTGGCTTTTGTCGCAGTGCGCTGAACAGGTCCTTATAATAATGTACAAATGATAATTGTAAATTTTGCCTATAGATTAAAACCCCGGACCAGTTTTACGCGTGGACTGAGGACGTCCTGCTGCCGACCCTTTACCCAGCTACCTGGTACAACGGAAGGGACATGAAGTACTTAGACCGACAGTTTGCACACAACACGGGATCCTTCCGTCTCGGTCCTCCACGTCTGATACAAGTTAGACAACTTCCAGGTACGTTTGGACAAATTTACTTCTTCTTTCTTTATCTTAAAGATGTCTCAAATGATGTTAATATCATTATATTATTATGGGCAGATTTTGTTAAAGTCCACAAATAAAACTTGGTATATAATGTCCATCACTGCAGGTTCCAAGTCTGTTGATGACATCGGGTGGAGTGTGTCTGATAACTGTTGGCGATTTAATGTCACAGACGTGTTACCTCATCAAAATAACACATTCGAATGCACAAATCATTATTCGTTTGGCGTTCCCCTGGTTCATGACTCCGCTGTATCATTCTTTGGTTTCTTGAAAGACAACCAGTTTTTCGACAAGTACACAAAATCCCTGACAATCACCGTGAACCTGTACAATCCCAGCCTAAAGCTGTTCAGTGTTGTGAACATGATCATAAATCGTTCCGAAGTAGGGCATCTCGTACCAACAGCAACAATCACTTCATTTAGATTGTTTCAGTACGAAAGTGATGCTGACTATGTCGACTTGTTTATGCACATTCTATTCACACTACTGTTCTTTGCCATATTTTGTAACGAACTGAAAGTAATGATAAAGATGGGATGTAAATATTTCACGTCGAAATGGAATGCCCTCGGATGTGTTAGCCTCATCGGTACAGCCACAACAATCTCCGTCTTCATCAAGCGATATGTGGTGGCATCGAAAACACTTGCAGTGGTCGCAAAAAGTAACGGTACGTTAACAAGTCACTAGTAGTTGGATAACCTATGACTATCGTTATCGAACAACTCATTCCGCAAAAAACAAAATACTTAGTAAAATGGAATGTTAGTTTTGTTACATTGAAATGATACATTACATTTGATTATTTGTTAATTGTTGACTTTGGTTTAAGAAACTTTAAGGCTCTGATTTATTTCCTAGGTGACCTGGGGTTTGAACGCTTTGTCGACCTGCAAACTGCTGCATGGTGGGATGCTTGTTTTAAACACATCTTGGGCCTTGTTGTCTTCATCAACACCATATCCCTACTTCGCGTCGTCCGCTTCAGTCAAACAATCGGCAAACTCCTGGCTCTTCCCGGCATCATGAAGGAGGAGCTCCTGTCATTTTTGGTTGTTGCTGCCATCGCCTTTATCGCCTTCATCAGCTCAGGTAAGTATTGAGTATAGTTTGGATGAACTTTAAGTAATCCAGACTTTAGGTTAGAGTCCTCTTTGCTAAACTACATATTTTATTAAAACTTTGCCGTAAGTTCACGTTGTACGATGTTAAATGTTGACGACTCATTTGCCTGTCTCTGGTTTCAGCACACCTCATATTCGGAAGCCACATGGAGTCTTACGCAGACCTGTACCACACAACGTTTGCACTCTTCGAGATGATGCTTGGCAGGTTAGTTTTACTAACTTAAGGACTATGGAATGGTCATTTAAATTGTATGATATATAAGCAATTCTTTAAATGATAAACCTAAACTAAATCCCTATATGTTATGATTCTTAAGGTTCTTCGCCAAAGACATGTTGGATTCCAACCCTGTCACCGGGCCGATCTTCTTCTCTTCCTTCATGATCTGCATCTTCATCCTCCTGATAAACTTCCTCACCACCATCATCTGTGACGCCATTTCCACTGACGTTGACGTCAGCCATGACCAAGAGCTTGGGGAGTACATCTGGAGGAGGTTCCTGGCTATGTTGGGGTTTCACAGCACGCCGGATAAGGAGAATAAACAAGGTAAGTTCCACCGAACCAATCAGTGGCAATATTGTGATTCTACCTTCCTGCTCTGATTAAAACAATGAAAAAATTGGGGATTCTCAACATAGCAGAAAGCGTTTTAAATATTTGTAAATCTGTTGGAATTTAATTTGTATTATTAATGACGAATACATTCTTAAACAATGCGGTAGGTATTCCTACTGACTTTTAAACTTATTCTACGACACAGGGTATACCAGATCACAGCCTCGTCAATAAAAAAAAAATATCTTGCTGCGGGGGACAAAAAATGAAACCCCCAATCCAATACACTTCCAAATTATGAACTAAAACTTCTTACATCTCCGAGTGATTACATTTAAAATGAATAGAAAACAATAACAAAAGTTGTCATGATAGTGTTTTAAATCATGTTTCTTACACAGACACAGATTACGTTTTAAGATTCCTATACTGATTTAGTAATGGCTAATGCTTAACAAGTTCTTAACTCAGCATAAAAGTTCATCTGTGTTGGTATATAACATTATGATAACGGTTAAAATTTACGTGACCAACACAAAGTAACTTGGGACTTACCCCAAATTTCCGGCTGACTCCGTCAGTCTTCTTCGCGAAATGTATCCTCCTACTGCAGCTTCCGGGACGTGACGTCGGAAACACGTGGTTGCAGCAGAGGGTCATACGTGGCAGATAACCTATGACGCCCCCTGTCTCTGCTCAGTGTTTCTTTCGATCTCCAGAATAAAAAGAAAGAGAAGGATCACGTGATCCAATCTTTAAAACTGTGTGGTTACTCTGATTGGGCTATAGACAAAGAATCAGCACCAAAAACAGCCAAATCAGTACAGAACAGGACGACCACCTCCTCAAAACGTAACAAAGGTCCAGTGGTCTTACCTTACGAAAAGGGTACTTCTGAAGCTCTAAGGAGGATTTTTGGCGAATATGGCATCAAAACAGGTTTCAGACTGACTTGGACCTTAAGAAAAATCTTAGTAGCACCCAAGGACAAAACGCTGAAGGAAAATAAATGTGGAGTGGTGTACCACATCTCTTGCCAAGGTGCCACTAAACAAGGGTCAGTGCCAAGAAACATACATCGGAGAAACTGAGCGTTCGTTGAAAACACGGTTCCTTGAACACCAACGTCCCAGTTCCACCAGCTCAGAAGTTTCCCAGCATATACATGTAGAATCTCCAGGACACTCTGTCTCACTAGATATTTAAAGTGAAAATCCTGGACACAGAACCGGATTTCTTCGCGAGAGGAGTAAAGGAGGCGGTGTACATTCGGGCCAACCGTCCAGCACTGAACAGAGACGGGGGGCGTCATAGGTTATCTGCCACGTGTGACCCTTTGCTGCAATCACGTGCTTCCGACGTCACGTCCCGGAAGCTGCAGTAGAAGGGTCCATTCCGTGGTCAGTCGAAATTTTGGGGTAAGTCCCAAATTACTTTGTGTTGGTCACGTAAATTTTAACCGTTATCATAAGTTCTTAACGCTTTTGTGAAGGTGAACTGATGATGAAAGGATTCGAGGCCAACATTGTCATCATTCAGGAGAAACTTGATGAAGGCCTGGACATCTGTAACTCCATCCTGCCTTGACGGAAACAGATTGCGTCTTACAAAATCAATCGGGAAAGATGAGAAATTATCAATAATTGTGGAAGAAAATTACCACAGTACACGATTACTTGCACAAAATGTAATTATTAAAATTATGAAATAAAATTTTTATAAATAGACTAAATAAATATTGTAATTAAGTCATGTAATATATTTTAGTACACTCTTTGTTTCGTAAATTGTTTTCTAAAACATACATTTACACTTTTACTTCAATATAACAATGTAAGCAAATGTAGTTTACGCAAACGATAAAGATTTTTCTCGCCATCCATTTACATATCCTTTAATGCTATATCAAATAGACGTATAACCCAGCGTACATCTCGTATAGATAAAGAAAACAAATTATGTTATTAATCAATAATATAAAAACAGAAATAGATATGGGTACATGCAATACCGCACGTATACGCCAGACATTTTGGGTAAAGGTATACATTAGGCTTTGCAATGATTTACCACTTTTCTATGTACGTTTGTTATGTGTCTATTAAGTCTTGACCTGTACCTAGCCCGACGTGGCTTGAATGTAATATAAATGTATTTCATCATCATCATTATCATAATCATCATCATCACTATCGTGTAACTAATATTATGTCCTACCTGGGCCGCGGTTACGTTCGATACGGGTGTTCCGGCCCGTGTGATAACTATCCGTACGGCCTGGGGGTTCTAAACCCGTACGGCCAGGGCCTTCCAAATGTTCCATAGAAAGATTCGAACGCGTTTCGCCCTAACCGTGTGCACCGCTTTCGAAAATTCGAATACAAACTTTGGACGTTGGAATTGATGTTGTTGCGTTTTAGTGGGCTTACGGACACCAAATTTTCGCTCATTTCGCATTGAAAGGCGTGTTTTCTTGGGTGGGTATGACATAAATAAAATACAACACGGTGTATTCCGCATCACCCTCGGTCCCAGCCCTCCCGCGGATCGGATCTCCCTCCGGCCTTCGGCCGTCGGGCGATCCGACCCGCGGTCGGGCTGGTACCTCGGGCGATACGGAATACACCGTGTTGTATTCTATATATATCACTGAATCAAAACAATTTGTAGAATGATTGAAAACGTATTTTACAAAGTTGTTTCAGGGAGAAATGGATGATGTAATAGTTGGCAGTACACTTAGCACGTTATTGATATCATTTCTTATTTAACAAGCTTAATGATGTCAACATTTAAAAATTTAGGAATCGTGTCTCGCCCGTTTTTTTTTCCTATCGCATTAGATTTGGAGTTTGCAGAGGATGTCATCCGTCTTCCATAAAATTTACTTGCTGTGGCCTTAAGGCGGACCATTTGATTGTTTGCAGATTTGAAGTTGTGCAAATTTCTGGTCGCATATTGCTTTATAGCAAACAGAAATCTTGTTTTGACCAAAGGTGTTTTTAACGATAACAGAATTAAAAAAAAACTGTTTGCTAGGTATTTAGGATGACTTTTCAATCCAAACCGTTTATTAGTGAACTTGCCCGAGCACATTTTTCAATCAGACGAATCAAATGACAGGTTCCTGAATAGTTATCAGACTACCACGTAATGAAAGAAATAGTCTGATTTCTAGGGCTACGTCTATCAATGTCTTTGTTAATATTATTTGTTTTGATATTTTCTTAGTCTTAAATGTTTGCAATGAAAGGATTTTGAAATTAAATACTTTTAATTTTGCATGGGGATGATTTCAGAATGAACAGTCTATTTTCATACAGGCAGTGGGCTGAGTAGTAAAGTATCTCATTTGTTCTTAAATGTAGACTTTTTAGACACCCCCATTGTCACAAATATGTGTGCTTATTACTTTAGTTGGTCGTAGCAGGTGAAATTGAGATTCTTGCATACGATTCAATACAATGTCTCTGACAACTTCCATCTGAAAATAATTATTTTTCCCCAAATATTTCGTACAGAAATCGCTATTGCAGTTCTCATATGAAGCATTACATCTTCAGACTTATCAAAAGATCGTTACATTTATACATCTATGACAGGCAAAGGAGCTGGTTGGTTGATAGGTTGGCTGGTGTGCTTGTTAATTGGTTTCTTGGTTGGTTGGTTGCCTGATTGATTGGCGTGTTTGTTTGTTTGTTTGTAATTGTTGTTTGGTTGGTTGTTTGGTTGGTTGTTTGGTTGGTTGGTTGGTTGGTTGGATGGTTGGTTGGTTGGTTGGTTGGTAGGTTGGTTGGTTGGTTGGTTGGTTGGTTGGTTGGTTGGTTGGTTGGTTGGTTGTTAGTTGGTTGGTTGGTTAGCCGGTTGAAAGATCTTTGGGCCAGCGGCCCAACCCCAAACTGGGTCAACTATGGGTTATACCGTAACAACGCTTCTGAATGGTAACGTCTTAAACATGATAAATGCATGAAAGGGAACATTCTGGTTGTGTCCAGAACCGTGCCTATATATATTCTGTTCTGTGCCTGCAGCTGAGCGGGAACAGAACTGAACACAGGCTGTCACTGTCCAGAACTGTGCCCGGAAGTGCTGTCAATCATGGTTACTGACGTCAAGTATCCACGCCCCAAGCAACGGAGGCCATTTGTGAACTGTGCGGGACTAGCCGTGGCTACTCTTGAATCGGGCTCATTTCATTACCCTTGCTAAGCTGTAGGTTCCTTGTGTGTAGGTACAAAGCCCTTGTGTCTGGACAGTCTTAGTGTGCCCCAGAACAGAACGTAGATTTTCCCCAGGCACGGTTTGGGACACAACAAGCCGTAAAGCAAGCTCCCATAGCCGTGGAGAGACCGTTATGCCCAGATATGTCTGAAATCAAGACTAGTAACTTGATATTTTAAAAAATGCGTAGATTTACCGATTTGAAATCGTTTTGGATCGTTTCTGAGGTGTTTTGATAGGATTATGAGAATTTTGGGCATATGAATATGTTGCTAAGTATACAACATTGATTTTACCTTTGCTTACGTAATCAGCAGCGTAAAGGTCCACGCCAGGTCAAGGCATTTCCTCAGCAGAAGTATTAATATCGCCCGTCCCTACCGGTCAGGTGCGTGGTTCCCATGGCCTTGGGGCACATTTTAAATTACCGCGCACAAAAAAAAAAGCCTCACACACATCACGGAGTCTGGACTCATTTCAACATATGGTAGACATGTGGAAGTTTCTGGTCTTCTTCGGGGCTCTGATCTCCTGGTCGGACACGTCACAAGGTAGGTAAAGAATTTTTGGCAATTTTTATAGCGTTGTTGATGGCGTAAGTAAGTCCTAATTTACATTAAAAAAGAAAGAAAACATTTTCGTTTATCAACTCAGTGTATGTGGTTTGCTAGCAGTTGTTACATAAATGGACATGTACTCTGCACGAAAGATGCTTAAGTTAGTAATGATTTTACTTAAAACTGCTTAAAAATATCGTTTTGAGCGGTGAAAGGCCCAGATCAAAATTTAATCCAGATGGGCATTACTTGTACACGCAGCAAAATCGTGACCGGTCCCTGGCCGGCCCCAAATCTAACACATATGGGGACTCATCCTCGATAACGTAACGCTCTCTGATTGGCCGAGTTGACATGGCCTTACAAACAAACAAATACGGGCAGCAGGAATCCTTCATTCCATCCAGACCACACGAGAGCACGGTCAACTCTACACTCTGGATATCTCTTATCAAACTGTCACCACCGACGTTCCAAAAACCCAGCAGTCCACAACCCTGCCGCCAAGCGCCGCGGTGACGCCGGCTGCCCGAGAACTTCGCTGCGGCCTCGTGCCGGACTGACGCCCACTCCTCGGATACGTCCACCACCCTAATATCCCGCCCGGCGCCGTCTTTCCTTGGCAGACTGAGACGCCGTACACCCACTGCAACACGTGGAGCCCTCTCACCTGGACACCTGCCTAGAACTTTTCAGACACTTTCCTCGAACTTACGACCGTCCCCCGTTTTCTGAAAAACGCCAGACCCGAGGCAGGGGACACCGTCCAGCTATCCCGCCACGCAGAGCCGTCCACCCGCCGCTTCAGAACATCTCAGGCTCTTCACGCCGTCTCAGACCACCTCGTCGCATTTACCGGGGCCGTCAACTCACTGTATAGAACTTTAGGGGTGAGTCCTGCTTTTGTTCTTAGTATGGACCCTTCACCCACTCGCATTTCCATTACTGGGCACTCGTTTGTATCTCGCCTAGAATCATTCGTTAAAACCCGTACTTCTACGGCTAGCGGAAGGGCTGTGTCTTCCGATTTCTGGCTCTCAAATGTAGCTATTGATTTTCTGGGTCTACGCGGCTGTACTATACCGCGATACCGTACTAAAATACTTTCAAATCTCAGGGCCTCCTCTCCTCACATAGTCTATGTCGAACTCGCACACAACGACCTATGTAGACAGTACCTATCCCCTCGCACAGTTGCTCATGAACTTGCGTCGTTAGTGAGAGACATCCTAGAAATACCTTCCGTTCACACGGTGATAGTGGGGGAACCGATCTGGCGGCTACGATTGCCTCCCTACATGCGAGATTTCCATGCTCGCGTTAGGGAGTTTAGCCAAACTTTGCGCCCTCTCATTGATTCCATTCCGAACACCACCACGTGGCGCCACTGTAAGCTATGGCAAAAAAATCCTGACTATTTCGTGGCAGACGGGCTGCATCTCTCCGATTTTGGAAACCTCAGATATTACAAAAGTATCCGCTACGCTATTCTGCCTCATCTGCCTGCCCGCTAGATCCTTGTTCCGAATTTTTCACTGACCCCACTTTCACCAGCCCTGTACCTACTGTAACCGAATATCAATCTTACTCTTGCCTGTTGACAGGATTGTACTAGTAATTGGACGTGTATATATGTACATGTATTTGTATTTCTATATTTTCTGTCGCATTTTTGCTCCTTGTTTGGCGCCTTTTGCTCACAATCTTAGTGAGCTTTTGGTGGTTTTGAGTTCTCAGCTTATAATGTCGCTATTATGTGATTACATATTTCTCAACGTCACGACCACGTGTATATATATATATAACTGCTGTATACTGTTGACCGGATAGGTCCCATGGGAATTTTTCTTACGTATGTCATCACCACAATGTCAATTCTATTTATGTATAATAATTCACTTTGAATTCAAGTTCAAGTTCATAATCAAGTTTATGTTCAAGTTCAAGTTCACTACGCAATTAAATGGTTGTGTTTCCGCCAAACCTGAAATCCGTATCCGCATTCTACCTTGTGCTTTTCCTCGACTTAGTTGATTGGGACTCGCTTAGCGTAAAACTGATTTTTGTGCTAGGACAAAAATATCGTTTTGAGCGGTGTGAGGCCCAGATCAAAATTTAATCCAGATGGGCATTACTTGTACACGCAGCAAAATCGTGACCGGTCCCTGGCCGGCCCCAAATCTAACACATATGGGGACTCATCCTCGATAACGTAACGCTCTCTGATTGGCCGAGTTGACATGGCCTTACAAACAAACAAATACGGGCAGCAGGAATCCTTCATTCCATCCAGACCACACGAGAGCACGGTCAACTCTACACTCTGGATATCTCTTATCAAAATTTTCCCCACCACTCCCTCCCTAAAACACGTAGCACATCACCTGATATTCAGTTGGTCGAAATTATGAAGCAACCCATATGCATTCTTAATCTGTCTGACGTTATCTCTAAGAGCATTGATCGCAACTGATGGTGCAGATGACTTTTATTCCTGCACTGTTGCGCCTATTTCGTATCTGATGGTACAGTTTAATGATAGCTGTACCGATACGCTCCCAAAACATTGATCGCAACTGATGGTGTAGATGACATTTATTCCTGCACTGTTGCGCCTATTTCGATCTGATGGTACAGTTTAATGATAGCTGTACCGATACGCTCCCAATCTATTTCCTATGTGAACATTGATCGCAACTGATGGTGCAGATGACTTTTATTCCTGCACTGTTGCGCCTATTTCGTATCTGATGGTACAGTTTAACTATAGCTGTACCGATACGCTCCCAATCTATTTTCTATGTGAACATTGATCGCAACTGATGGTGCAGATGACTTTTATTCCTGCACTGTTGCGCCTATTCCGTATCTGATGGTCCAGTTTAACTATAGCTGTACCGATACGCTCCCAATCTATTATCTATGTGAACATTGATCGCAACTGTTGCGCTTTTTCTCTTGTATCTTGTGGTGCAATTTCTACAAATATTTACCCTTCTATTTCTACTCGACTACGCCTTTTTCTCGGTTCATTTAGGCGTTTTACTTTACGTCAGTAACTATATATCTACATTACTTATGACTTCAAAATTATTCAAGCCACCGGTCCCATCCGCGCAAACATCCTGCCATGCCTTGTCTCATGGAAAAATTAGCGGTTCATATGCGGGCGGAAACACAACTTTCTCCTTACACACATACTTACCCCGTTAGCCACTTCCTACTCTAATTTTATTTCCTCCCGAGTCCCCAGCTATGCCGGCCACGCGGTCTCAGCGCCGCTCAGGAGGGGGTGCCGCGGATGACCCGCCACCCGCTGTCACCACCGTCTCCAGGAAGCAGCCGAAAAAGCCAAAGAAGCCGACCGCTGCCGGCCAGATTAAGGATATCCAGGCCCAGCTGAGCGCCCTCACGTCGGTGACCGAGACGCTGCAGCAAAGCCTGGCCACCATCGCCGCACGACCCCCCGCGCCGCCAGCCCCGCCTCATCCGACGCTTCCGCCCGCGCCTCACCCGACGCTACCGCCCGCACATCTGGAAAACCTGCAACCACCACCCACTGACTCCTTGGTCTCGAACATCCTAGGTACGGGCGGTACAGACATTTCAGCCTCTAAGACCACCTCCCCTGCGCCTGTCCTCTCCCCAACCGTGACCTATACCTCCCCTACAACATCCCCTCCCTCCACCTCCCCTTACCACATCCCGTTAGACACGGGTATTCCTGCCACATTAAAAGAGAAAATCTGGCAGAACAAGTACATCGACTTCAAATCGCTGCTGCCTAACATGCGCTCCACACCACAATACACAGTTTCCTTATCCGACAATCTCACCCCCACCCTTACCCTAGCAAATCGCCCACCAGACCCAAAACACGACCTTTCCCTTGACCAGTGGACCAAAGCCTTCCTAATCTACCATTTCATTTATGCTCAGCGCCACCCCGCTCACACCTGCCAGCTGGTCTCCTACCTGAGCCTCGTCCGCACCATGGCCTCCCGCGGAGCCCAGTGGCGGCGATACGATGAAATGTTTCGCAAGTACAGGGAGGGTGCCCCCGACACGCCCTGGGACCCCCCACTCCTGCAACTATACATGGATGCACACTACAACAACCCGTCCTCCTCCCTGAGCCGCCCTACTAGCTCCGCCTCAACCCCCCCTAATCCGCCCTCAGACATTCCCCCTGGCTATTGTTTTCGTTTCCACAAGGAAAACGGCCAATGCCGCCGGGTTCAATGCCCGTTCAAACACGAGTGCTTCAAGTGTGACGGCAGACACAAGGCCACCTTATGCGACTCCAAATCCCCCTCGGTGTCTGCCGTCTCCCGTAAACGCTAAAACCCTGGCCAAATATCTACACGGCTATCCTCCTCGGGACAGAGCCTACCTTTTAGATGGTTTTACCTTTGGCTTCCCACTCGAATACTTCGGTTCCCGTACGCGCCCTTTGACTTTTCCCCCACAGCCTAAAGACACACATTTCAATATAATCCAGGACAAACTTCAGAATGAGTTGGTGTCTGAGCGGGTTGCCGGACCTTTCTCTTCGCCTCCGTTCAAGAATCTCTTTCTTTCACCTTTATATGCTGTGCCCAAAAAGGCTCCCGGAAAATTCCGCTTAATTCATGACCTCTCATACCCTCCGGGCTTCTCTGTCAACAGCGGCATTCCTTCTGAGCTGTCCTCCGTTAAATATGCTACAATAGACAACGCCATCCAACACATAAAAGTTCTTGGCCGTGGTTGCTTTCTGGCAAAAACGGACATTGAAGCCGCCTTTCGACTTATTCCCGTCCACCCAAACGACTACCACCTTTTAGGTTTTTATTGGAATGGCAATTTCTACTACGACAGGTGTCTCCCAATGGGTTGTAGTACATCCTGTGTTATCTTCGAATCTTTCAGTACGGCTCTGGAATGGATTGCCCGCAACAAATTGAATATCCAGTACCCTGCCCATATCCTAGATGATTTTCTTTTTGCAGCCAGAACCTACTTGCAATGTCACCGTGACCTAACCGCCTTCACTGATTTGTGTCGAGACGTCGGAGTCCCCCTCGCAGAAGGAAAGACCTTCTCTCCTCACACCACTATGTCTTTCCTAGGTATTGAATTAGATACCATTATTATGGAAGCGAGGCTCCCGTTAGACAAACTCACCAAATGCCGTGAACAAATTAATTTCTTCTTCCATCTCTCTCATGCCACTCTTAAACAAGTTCAATCCTTAGTGGGTTTACTTCACCACGTCTGCCAAGTTGTTCCCCCCGGCAGAGCCTTTCTGCGTCGACTCATCGACCTTACCAAGCCCCGCCCAGGTAACTCTAACCGCATACCGATACCCACAGAGGTACGCCAGGACCTGCGCATGTGGCTTACTTTTCTGAACAGCTACAATGGCCGATCCTTTTTCCTAGACGACGTTTTCGCCTCTAACATAACCCTCCACCTCTACACTGACGCAGCTGCGTCTCTTGGCTATGGGGGTGTTTATGGAACGGCATGGTTTTATGGTTCATGGCACCATTCCTTACGCTCCCAAAACATCACGATATTGGAGTTTTACCCCATTGTTGTAGCACTCCATATCTGGGGCCAACAGTGGTCCAACCGAAGCATTCTCCTCCACACTGACAACGCCGCTCTAGTCCATGTCATTAACCGCCAAACCTCCAAAAACCCTCTCATCATGCCCCTTGTTCGGCACTTTGTTCTTATCTCCCTACGTCAAAACATTCTCTGTCGTGCAGTTCATGTACCTGGCGCGCAAAACATAATGGCCGACACTTTGTCCCGTCTGCAGGTAGACCGTTTCCGGCGAGAATTCCCGAATATGGACCCTCATCCAACCCCTGTCCCGCCACACCTGCAGCCGCACGTATTGATAGGACCGTGACCGACCTTCTGTCCTCAGCCCTCGCTCCGTCCACCTTGCGCGCCTATAGACAGGCCTGGCAGCTCTTCAGAAATTTCACAATAGACGTCCTCGGTGAGGACTTAGCCACCCCACCTGTTTCGACCAATCTGCTTGCCCAGTTCATCGGCTTCCTCCACAATGAGGGTTTCGCACCCCCTACCATTTCCTCCAAACTTTCGGCCATCAGCTTTGTACACAAACTACTAGAACTTCCGGACCCAGCCCAGTCCTTCTTTATTCAAAAACTCCTCCACGCTACCCGCAAGTCCCATCCCCCCGATAACAGACGTCCAATCACCCCCAGCATTCTCAAATCCCTGATAGATTCTCTACCGGAAGTGTACGCACCCGCATACGACAGACAGTTGTACAAAGCCATGTTCTTGTTCACCTTCTACTCCTTAGCCCGCGTGGGTGAGGTCACCGTCACTGGTTCCGCTCACCACACACTGCAGTTGTCAGATGTTAACCTCCAAGGCACATCCCACCAGACAGTCCCTCCCCTTCTGATCACCTTCCGTACTTATAAGCACAGCTCCACGAAACGTCCCGTAACCGTGTCCATTGTGCCCCACCCTGGCAGCTCCTACTGTCCCGTAGCAAATCTGAAATCCTACCTGTCGCTCAGGGGAGAGTGTGCGGGTTGCCTCTTTCTCCTTAGCGACGGCCGCCCCGTTTCTAGTGACCATTTCTCTAACACCCTCCGCAAATGCCTAGAACGTGCGCACCTAGACCCTCAGGCCTATACTGCTCATTCGTTCCGCATAGGAGCTGCCACACACGCTGCTTCGAGCGGCGCCTCCGACGCGCAGCTACGGGCGCTGGGGCGCTGGTCTTCAGATGCCTTTAAATCGTACATACGCCCCTAATAGTATTCTATTCCTCCGACTCTGTACATTGTCTTATGCCGCACAGCCTCCATTGTCTGTGAAACGGATTGTATCTCATTTGCAACTTAGACCACTTTCTGTTAGACCTGTTAGGCCGTAGTTTGCAGCGGCTGTAGTAATTAGGCTATATAATACACACCCCTCATGGTGTGCGCCATGGACTCATTTATTTTCAATATTTTCAACTTAGATCACTTTTGTTAGGTCTTAGTTCGTTGTCAAGGTAGTAGCAAGGAGGTGTATAACCTCCTTGCAAGGAGATGTATAACTTCAGGGGAGAGTGTGCGGGTTGCCTCTTTCTCCTTAGCGACGGTATTAGTTAGGTTGTTAGTTAGGTTGTTAACGTTGTACTTCAGCAACTTAGTACACAGGCATTGTGTGTTGTGGACTTTTAATTATTTCCGACTTACATCACATTCTGTTAGGTCGTAGCCTGTAGCTACTGTATTAGTTATGCTCCTTACCACACAGCTCTCATTGTGTGTGCCACGGGCTTTCAATTTACATAATGCCTTGTCATTATATATTTATTGTACATACTGTACTTGTGCTCTCTTTGCAGCATCAGACCTAGCAGCCCTTGTATAATATCATACAGGATGCTCTCCTTAACAAAACCTCCAGGCGACAATTTCTTCATCAGGAGTGAGAAAACACTCTAATATGCCGTTTGCAGCATTGGGAAAATCCTACCTCCCCCCTCCCTTCTCCCCAGTTTGGCTCCCGGGGGAGATGGGAGTTAGGGTTGGGGTAGCCGGCTCGCGGTGTCTATTTCCATACCAAAATTGATCTCTAGCCACTCTGATTTTGTTGTAAGAGCATTCTGCACGATCTTCACCTTTCTCTCACGTTATGTACTTTCCTTAGCCTTTGTCTTTTCTTTAGCATTTCCTGTAGTGGTAGTGGTTTTGAGTTCTCAGCTTGTAATGTCGCTATTATGTGATTACATATTTCTCAACGTCACGACCACGTGTATATATATATATAACTGCTGTATACTGTTGACCGGATAGGTCCCATGGGAATTTTTCTTACGTATGTCATCACCACAATGTCAATTCTATTTATGTATAATAATTCACTTTGAATTCAAGTTCAAGTTCATAATCAAGTTTATGTTCAAGTTCAAGTTCACTACGCAATTAAATGGTTGTGTTTCCGCCAAACCTGAAATCCGTATCCGCATTCTACCTTGTGCTTTTCCTCGACTTAGTTGACTGGGACTCGCTTAGCGTAAAACTGATTTTTGTGCTAGGACAAAAACAAGAAATAGCTTCGTTCGTCTCTAAGCCAACGTATCTTTCGATATCGTTGATAGATCTAATTCAAGACAATGTTGTTACTTTTGAACGTGGTATTTCCTGTATTTTACAGACGTTATCCAAAGTGTTACGTAAATGTATTATTTTCTGTATTCATTTATTTATTGCTTTGGGTGTTCAACACACAGGACCAGGGTAACCCAAATAGCTTGTGGCTATTACAAAGGGCTTGTCCTACTTACAACACAGTATTAACAGTCTATAACGTTATTTTATGTACCCAAAAATTTTTTAAAAAGCATTACGTGCATAATATTAAATGAATATATATATGTAGTCATTTGTTGCCATTATGCCATAAAGCGTTCTATCGCAAAAAATGACGTTTCTGTTCTGAACGACCAATCATTTGTGTTTCAGACGGGTTGCGTTCATAAGATGGATTTACTCATTTATGACCTTTATTATACTTTTTCCCCACTTGGCTGTGCAAACACGCAGTTAACCTTCACTAGGCTTTTTGTGTGTGGGGGGTGTTCGGTCAGCCCCTTCATAACACATGAACGGTATACTGTACACTATGGTCAAAAAATTTTAGAGAACGGTGTAACAGTAATAATGATAATAACCAGCATTTTTATGTCATTATCATGTAATATGACGTCATTTGTATGTTATTTATGTGACTTTTGGGACTAAAACCGCCCAGATAGATGATTCTCATAAAACAAAGTTCTACAAGAAAACTTAAACAAAAAACTTTGTATGATATAGCACTTATGTTACCCATCTGCTAAGTCCTGTGTTAACCATCGCAATGCGTATTCAAGCTATTCGCCATATTGGATCGTCAGTCTTAAATCAGTCTTTAATACGCTCTTTTTATTAACCTGCCTAATCGCGCTCCTGGCGGCCAGCCGCCCCGATGTTGCCGCCCCCAATTGGGGTGGGGCTCATTAACCTCCGGCCGAGAGCTTGTGTAACACAGGCTAACTCTTTTTATGATTCAGTCTGAAAACACAATGCAAATGGACAAGTCGTAAAATACCTGCTGATGAATTAAGATAATGTAACCTGGGTACACTGCTCTAATGCATGTGTAACTAAACGTAAAAACGTAAAAATGATTATTGTTCAAACCAAAATCTCTACATTTTGAAAAATTGAATGCCAGAAATCAGTTGTCATGACAACTAGAAAAAACCTTGTGGTCAAGAAGCATGTGCTTATTCGCGCGTTCGAAACAAATAGGTTTTTGTCATTACTAAGTACTTTCGTGATACATTTACTAAGTTCTGAAATATGCCGACGAAGAGAAGATGATCAATAAACTTAACAAATAACTATTATGTTAAAATAAACATAACCGTTTTATTCTACAGGTGAACAAGTGTACCTGACCACGGTAGGTGGCTGGGCTTTCTATAAAGTTTCCGCGTTTGGTGCTATGACTAACCCAAATGTCATGGTTACCTGTGAAGCGGCTGGGATGAGATTCCCTTGCTTCTGGTCTGGTACCTCTTGTCTTAGTGATTGGGACGACCGATGCATCAGGTTTGCCGATAACGGTGGCTGCTTTACCTTTATGGTCCTCTCGCTGCGGCTGTGTGGGCATGTACAAGCTTGGCGCTGTCAGCCCCTTGATGACACCTTTGTGTACTACCCAACCTGGATGGAAAACGGCGCAGGGGGACTGGACTACGAAACCGCGCAGTATAGTCTACAAGGGTCGAACTATTACAACAAGTACGCCCTGTGCGCAGGTAAGGTTAATATTTGACGCAGTTGTACAAAAAAAGATCAAATAATCATTCCTGACTCCAGACTCAAAATTATTTCTATCCACAGTAGTAAGTGTGAGAAAAATCGAAACTCTGCAAAAAGCTACAATTTTTAAACACATGAGCGGAAAAAGATCGCCATGTTTTCAAGATTAAAGACATTTAGACTATTTTTGGTCTCTTACTCAAAGTAAGACAACGGTTTCTTCTCACTATAGCGTAAAATGCATGCATAATACTTCTTATAAGTACTTATTATATCTTTTTTTCGTTGAACTACTCTTAAACCAGACCTCTTTTTTTAAATTTTCTTATATATAGTACAGAAGCTATAAATCTTAGATAATAATACTGTCCTTAATCTTTTCAGTGCAGTCACCTGACGCCATCACCGGGTGAAGACGGGAAGCATAGCCTTCAGCTGGAAAAGCAAGCTGCAGATCTGCATGGAATAAAACCAATGCCTCAATATTATTTGTGTCTTTTTTTCTTGTGAGCTTTAACAACCCAACTGTGAACTCAGGTTCATACAAAAGATTACCAAAGGTTTGAGTGGAAAACATTGTATTGTTTCCTTACGCAATTGCTGATTTTTTTAAAAAATTTACGATTCCAATTTGGGCCTTTCAGAAGCCTCCTGTGCAGACCTTTTAACTGTCAGCTTTTCTTTCGATTGTACTAGCGCGGGTAAACATTGAAATCATATTCATACAGTTTCCTTAGTTATGAAAATTACAACCTGATTTGCAAAATTGTCATCTAATCATGTCAAACATCAATTAAGATACCTCCATACCAAAAACTATGATAATCCATCAGCCGGTTTTTGAGATATTCTTTTTGGAGGTTTTGAAACAAATGCCCCTGAAGTTCCACAACAAGCTGATAGGGGGCCCATGCCCAGATCACGAGATATCTTAAACAGAGGTTAAACTGCAGTTACATAGCAATGTACGGGGGGGGGGGGTAAATCTAATCATAGCCAGGTCCCTTAGGTACCTACCCATCTTCCAAATATCAAGACAATCAACGTAGGCCTTCTAGAGTTATTGTACAATCAACGTAAGCCTTCTCGAGTTATTGTACAATCAACGTAAGCCTTCTCGAGTTATTGTATTAATAAAACACACAAACACACACACACAAACGCACACAGAGACAGACGCACAAACATACGCCGAAGCAACATAAAACACGACCTTCTTGGCGAAGGAGGTTTTACCTTTTATTCATATACGACTGCCTAAGATCCAACCACCAAATGGGGTTAGCTCTTTTCTCCTTAGAGTGTGTGCAGGATCGGACGCTGGTGCTCCCATCCACGGCAAGGCAGGCGCCGGCAACCTTACCCCATTTGATGGCAGTGCTTGTTTGTTAGTTGTTTTTTTTTCTTTTTGTACAGAGCGGCATTATGACATGTAGAGGAAGTGTAGAGGCTTAAAATCGGTATCACGTCAAAGAACATTATCTGCGTCTTACAGTTGTTTTTCTCTCCGCAGTTTAATGCAAAGTGTAATGTGGAAATAGGTCTTAAATGGCTGAATGCAGCACGTTTCAACTTTCATGTGTTATTGAGTAAACAGACTCTTTTTACACATCGAAGTCTTTTATTCAGACGACGTTTCGGTGACCGTTCTCTACCGTCAGGGCAATTCTAACTGGTTCACATTGCACAGCACAGGTGTCGCTGCAGTAGATGCATTCCGAAACGTACAATATCTAAATATCTAGACATATGCGTGATTACAGGGAAATGTATCTACAATGCGGTCCCAAATGTACGGGAGTTGAATATTTACATAACTGTGGTCAGGCATTAAACAGAAACAGTTATAGAGATCTCACGTTCTATAGGTGCAACACAGTGACAAACAGACCCATATAAGTGTAGTGATGATTGGCTTAGCGCGTAGTAGTAGTTTGACGTCAAGACTACATGTATAACATACACACGTGATCAGGAATTTGATTAGTCTCAAGATGAATAAACGGCATTGCCAAGTTTACCAAAATGGACAATTGGGAAAAGACATCTATACCCTACACAAGCACTTTTCATCTTGTGTTCTCATCCACAACACCGCCATTTTTCCTTTTTTTCATTTTAAAGTGGTGATTTCTAAAAAAGAAAAATTAAAATAATGCAGTATTCAACAAAATCGATCAAATATGTAGTTGTTTAGAGACACATAGAAACAGCTACAGGCGGAATCACCCAGCCATTTGGAAACCTGGAGCCCGCTCTTCACTGTCTAGATAGTGTCGGCCTGTTCGGATATCGTCGGCCTGTTCAGATATCGTCGGCCTGTTCAGATACTGTCGGCCTGTTCAGATGCTCTCGGCCTGTTCAGATGCTGTCGGCCTGTTGGATTTCGTTCAGCTCGTTCTCTGCCTCGTGCATACTGCAGCGCACAGAGACACCACCAGGAGGCGCTGTGGTCTTCCAGCGGCCCCGCTGCATCTTGGGAGGAGGCTCGGGAGGAGCCTCGATCTGGGGTGACAAAGAGAATTGTTTGTGACGTTCGTGCACCTGTGTGTGTGTGTGTGTGTGTGTGTGTGTGTGTGTGTGTGTGTGTGTGTGTGTGTGTGTGTGTGTGTGTGTGTGTGTGTGTGTGAGTATGTGTGAGTGTGTGTGTGTTTGATAGAGTGTTTGTGTGAGTGTGTGTGTGTGTGTGTGTGTGTTTGAGTTTGCAAGTGTGTGTGTAAACGTGTGTGTGAGTGTATGTCGGTGTGTGTGCGTGTGTATGTGTACATGTGTGTGTGTGTGTTTGTGTGTGTGTGTGTGTGTGAGTGTGTGTGTGTGTGCCTGATTGTGTGTGTGTGTGTGTATGTGTGTGTTTGTGTTTGAGTGTGCGAGTGTGTGTGAATGTGTGTGTGTGTGTTTGTGTGTGAGTGTGTGAATGTGTGTCGGTGTGTGTGCATGTGTATGTGTACATGTGTGTGTGTTAGTCTGTTTGTGTGTGTGTGTGTGTGTGCGTGTGTGTCTGTGTGTTTGTGCGTGTATTGTGTGTGTGCGAAAGTGTGAAGGTATGAGATCGTGGAAGTCTAGTTTTTTGTACGTCTGTTTGCGTGCGTGTCAAATCAAACCTCACCGTTATGTACTCGTCACTTGACAATCCGGATTCCTCCGGGATGTCCTCCCGTGCGCATGCGCTGATGTCCTCGCCGTCCGGACGGTGCCGCTCCACGGTCGTGTAGGGAGGTAAGGTGGTGGCGTGCGCATGCGCCAGCCCTGCACCAAAGCAACAAGTCCGTACCAGTCACATGTAAGAACAAGAAGTCTCCTACTAGTCACTCTAGCTGCTAACCTCTAACAGCAAGTATGTTTTGGTAGTCGTGGGCCCCAAATGACTGACAGTTAAGGAAAAATGGCTTCTTTAATCGTTAATTAAATTAGTTTTTTCCATGTCACTGTTACTGGAAGTCTTTATTACAATTAACACAGCTCTCCCCATGTCCTTGGTAGGTAAATAGATACCAACACTAGCTATAGCTAGAGTCTGAGTATACCTGAGTAGGAGAGTCCGACGTTTGTCCACTGTTTGTCCCCCCGAGGCGGCGGACGTGGCTTCAGGGTCCCGTCCAACTCCTGCAGTTCCAGGTCCTCCACACCGGAGTCGTTCGTACCATGGCCCAGCCTCTTCCCGGGCTTTGGCACAACAGATACGGAGCGGCCCGAGGGCACAGCAACAAGTGGGCGGGCCGAGGGCAATGGAGCCGGGGCTGGAACCAGGGAACCAGAGGCAGGTAAAGGTGATGCACTCCACTTACAGATAATGAATGAATGAAATAACTTTATTGTACGTTTGGGCTCTAACAAGCTAAGTACAGGTCATGATTATTGCAGATTTTAGGGTCGTTACCTCAACATGTATGTTCAACATCATATTTGCCTTGGATTTCTGACTTAAGGGACGTCCAAGGAAACGCGAAAAGTGTCATGAATTTTTTTTTCAATTAAAATGATTGGCAAACTTAGCTGACTTTTAAAGGGCATGACTTATCAATTAATGGCTTGCGTGTTTAACACCTTTTCTCTTATATCTGCAGATCAGTCGTGACCTGACGGCCCAGCACACACAAACAGCTGCCAGCACCACCAGGACAGCGGCCGCCGCGCACACGGACAGAACCACCAGCGGCTGGTCTGATCCTGCACGGGAGAAACAATAACAACAAGACTGGCAATGAAAACATGTTTTACAATGGCGACGGTGGTTGCTGTTAGGGTTATTGTTTCATGGCACTGCCATCATTTCATGATTTTTAACAAGACTTGGTACCTGATAAGTCTAGACAGATACAGTGCACTCCTCCCCTGAGTGTATAGTGAACAATCCCCGGGGTCACAGAAAGTAGGGCCATTCGGGGCAGAAGGGTTTCCAGGAATGTGGGCATAGATGTGGCTCAGAGACATGCCTGCAGTCTTTCCAAGGGTTTCCAGTAATGTGGGCATAGATTTGGGTCAGAGAAATGCCTGTGGACGTTCCATTCCTGTGGACAAAATGTCTATACCATTCCCAGAATTCTTGCAAACTGCACACAATACTGTACGGAGCCTCCCTGAGACGTCGCCAAAATTATCATTCTCAACATGTGAAGCAACCAGGGGATGAGCCTTCTAACCTGTCCCGGTGTAGGAAACAAGAGACTTGCCCTCTACAGGGAATCAATGCTGGGCAATCACAGCAACACTCCGCATCAAAAGGAGAGGAATACAAAAAAGTCATGCAAGTCTAAGGTATACTGTACATAATATTTACAATACTCGACTATATGGAAGGTTATGTAGGGAGACTACATAGTGTGTGGGGACTCAGAAAGTTACAACCAAACTGCCATAAATTTTAGATCCTGATGTTCCCGTTCAAGATTCAAGGTTTAAAGATTAGTATTGAATACATTTTACTTCCAGGTGTATTTTTCACCTGTAACTGCCAGGTGCATTTTTCACCGGTAACTTCCAGGTGAATTTGCCACCCGTTACTTCCAGTTGCCATTTTTTACCTGTAACTTCCAGGTGTATTTTTCACCTGTAACTGCCAGGTGTATTTCTCACCTGTAACTGCCAGGTGTATTTCTCACCTGTAACTTCCAGGATTTTTTCTCACCTGTAACTTCCAGGTGTATTTTCACCTGTAACTGCCAGGTGTATTTCTAACCTGTAACTGCCAGGTGTATTTCTCACCTGTAACTTCCACGTGTGTTTCTCACCTGTAACTTCCAGGTGAATCTCCCTCCGAGCCTCCCCGAACATGTTGGCAGCCTGACAGATGTACGTCCCTTCCTGAGATTTCCCGACATCCTTCAGGAGGAGGGTGCTGGAAGTCCCGTCATCCACCTAGGGTGGTTTTAAACATTTCAAACACTTTAATACACGTTTATGACGTCACATATGCCCTAAGCCGGGAGTTATCGGGAAATAGAAAGCGAAAATACCGGTCATTAAGAGAGTAAAATAACATTCTGTCATTCAAACGTTTTCCTCCGTGTTAAGAGTACATGTATTGGGAAACAGTTTTTCGCACAGAACAAGGAGCTTCTGTAGACTTTATATGGTATAAGGACTGACAATATACAATACTGATACCACGTATCGCATTGCTAGACACCAAATGCGGCATAATAAGCATGAAGAGTGTCAAACCGGCTTCTCGATAATTGACAGCCCGACGTCTGTTGCCATGAGAACGTTCTCTGCGCCTTGCTTGTTCCGCCATGACCACGTGATCCTGCCGGGGAGCGGGTCCCCGAGAATCTCGCAGTGAAGTCTCGCGAGAGTTCCCTGGGCGGCTGCAGCCGATGGCGCGTCCGTCTGTATTGATGGCTTCCCTGGTGAGATAGACGGCAACAGACTTTTTTCATAACTCGGCAGTCCTCATTGCAACAGGCCTTTCACGTAACTGTGGTGCCCAGATGGTGTTTTATTATGAAAAATGAACCCTGGTCTCTTTCCGCGTCCAAGGTTATTGTCACTAATTTTTAAGATGATTATAAGGGCAGACACAATTAAGGTAAAAGCCGGTTTGACTTAGACAAATCACCAAAACGGCGAAAGGTTAATTCAGGGCAACATTTTACCGACCTACGACGTCCACGTAGACGTCCTTGGTGACTTCCTGGAAGCCGTCGCTGGCAGCCACGCATTGATACGTGCCCTGCACGTCGTAACGCACCTGCTGGAAGCGGAGCGGGTTGTCCCAGTACAGACTTGTATCCTTCCGCCGCCAGCGGATGTGAGGTTTGGGGTTCCCGTCGGCGAGACACCGCAGGGACTGATCATCCTGGCCGTACAACATCGTCACTTTGTCCTCCATGGTAGCCTCTATCACAGGAGGGTCTGTCAGGGGAACAAAAAAAATCATATCTATCTTCCTGGCCGTACAACATCGTCACTTTGTCCTCCATGGTAGCCTCTATCACAGGAGGGTCTGTCAGGGGAACAAAAAAAATCATATCTATCTTCCTGGCCGTACAACATCGTCACCTGGTCCCCCATGCTAGCCTCTATCACAGGAGGGTCTGTCAGGGGAACATAGCAACATTTCATATCTATCCTCCTGACCGTACAACCGTCACCTGGTCCCCCATGCTAGCGTCTATTACGGGAGTGTCTAAACAGAGAGAACATACTGGCTTACTATTCCGTTGAAAAAAAAAATCTAACCATGTGAGTAGCTTGGCACATTGAAGAGAAATTTACCCAATCCAAAAGTCCACCAGTGATGATACTGTGTGGTTTTAAAGCGGCATCCTTTGTCACCGGTCGGTTAGATGAAATATTTCTACTTGGCGAGTATCATGTAAGAAACGGCGAACAACAAAATAGCGAACAAAAGAGGAAAGCCCCTTACCTTTTGTATCTTTTATGTTTCCCTTTTTCAAAGACACCAGATTTTGGTCAAATGAAGCTCGATGAGCTACTTTTTAAAAATATATATTCCAAAATTTCATGACTAGACAGCACAGTCAAGTTATATTGACTTATGTCGTCACCAACGCAAAGGACGAATAAAGGAAAGGCCAATACTTTAGTTAAGTGAGGAAAGTCGTGTAAAGGGCCTTTCCTAAGGGCACAAGATCGGTGGCATGTCAGGACTCGAACCCGGGACCTCTTGGTTCCGAGTCGAGCACGCTGCCGCTACGCAACACGATAAGCTACTTTGGTTACTCACAGTAAACCTGCATGGTGACAGATCCGAGTCCCACAGGGCGGACCCCATTATCCGCCTCACAATGGTACAGTCCGCCGTCCTTCCGGGTCACCTTCGGAAGCTGCATCACGTGGTCCCTGTCACGTGATGAATCACCATAATGGCAGAATGCCAAGTATTAGCACCATAAACCTTAGAACCCATAGATATAAAACAATTCTTTACAAAACGGAAATTCTTAAAGTTGGAAGCAGGCCTGTATGTACGTATGAAACTCATGAATATTCATTGCAAAAAATGCGAGAGCTCGTCTTACCAGATAATATTTAGTGATGGTAGAACTTCTCCGACTTTCCGCCATGTTACAGTGGCCTTGGGGTTGCTGTCTACCATACAGCTGAGACTGGCCGGCTCGCCCTCTCTCACGTGGACGGACGGACTGGGCACCGACACTGCCGGGGGGTCTGCGGACCAGATTCAACAGCCATCATTTACCATATAAGGTACCATTGGGGTCTGCGGACCAGATTCAACAGCCGCCATATACCATATAAGGCAAGCGTTAAAAAACCGTTGCCTATCCAGGAGCGTGCTAACCATGATCATGCACAGTTCTGGATAGTTTACGCGTATACAGCACCGTGTCTGGGGCAAATCTACGTTCCATAGACTACTAGTATCCAGAACCGAGCCTGATCCTAAGCCTAACCCATTCAGGTATAGAACTAGATGGACATATGTCTGGATGCGACACAAACTCACACTTGACTCTGAGTATCCTGGAGGAGGCTTTAGGCCTGGCGAGTTGGGGGAAGCCCTGGTCGGCCAGACAGGTGAAATTGGCGCCGTGATCCCATTTCGTCACACGCGGCAAGAACAGCTCCAGGCTCTGGGATTCGCCACTAGAAACTCCAAAAGATCTGAAACGAATACAGCAATTTTTTTCTAGTAGTAGTCCCAATTATATGACCGAACCGGCAAAGAATAAAAAAGACCCCCCCCTCTAAAAAAAGGTTAAAATAAGTTAGTCCCGATAGTATAAAACCTGAAAAATGCAGTTTGAAACTTACTGGAATGGTTCTGTCCCGTTGAGCCAGGTAAGTCGGGGCGCGGGGTGCCCACCTGACGCTCGGCAGGTGAGAGACAGCTGCTCACCTGACGTCAACGTCAGCTCACCTCCTGATATCTGTGGAGGGTTTGGCATCGGGACTGGAGTGACAAAGAGAAAAGTATGTAGGAATGTCGGCTAAAACCAGTCTGTAGGACATTACTGGTTGTTACCTTCACCAAGAAGGTTATGTTTTCGGTAGCGTACTTCTGTCTGTCAATACGATAATTCTAGGCTTACTAGATGTCTTGAAGTCTCAGTATTTGGTAAGTCGGTAGGTCTTGATGAGACCTCTGAATTATTAGATTTTGGGATTCCTGGTGGCTTGTTATGGTACTGCAGCGGAACGTTTTCTTTATGTCTTGTGATTTGGACATGCTACGGGCACGAATTGTTTATGGTAGGTGGCTCTTGGTTCCGAGAAGAAGTGACATGAGTTTGCCCCCCACAGCTTGTTTTGCGGTAAAACACAATTTTGGTTCAAAATGCCAGTCATTTTACTCACCAACAACAGTTAAGATGGCGTCAGCAGCCGCCATTGGGTCGGTGTAGCAGCTGTATTTCCCGTCATCCTCCAGTTTGATGTCCCGGATCTCCAGGTTGAACTCGCCCCGTGACGTGTCCCCCACGATCCGATGACGTGTGTAGACGTGAAGTACATTGGTGCCGTAGGATATTATTGCCAACTGTCCCTGCCATACTACAGCTTCCTTGTCACCGATGTTATCAAAAGCACACCTCAGAACCGCGGTTTGCCCGTGCTGAACGGCAGTAGACTGGGGCCGCACCCGGTAGGAGGCTCCGCTAGCTGTGGACATGGATATACATGTATAAGAAGAAAACATAGTCCCAGCCATGTGTCCCAACGGTAGCTTGATACATAAGCTAACTTTTTTATTTTAGCTTCCTCTCTTAATTGCTCGTAACAATGCTATCTGGGTGATAATAAAAAATAAATAAAAAAAAACAATAAACTACACATATTCAAAGTCTAGGTTTTTGGTTCCAAGCACAACGATGCTCATCATGAACAAGTAATGGAGCTTCTGTAACTTCAGGTTACCTTCCGGACTATCTGTGACATGTTATAGACGGGGGCAGCATCTCATCAGGCATGCCGCACACGTGCTGCGCACAGAGGCTTAACCTGCCTGATACCCGACTCACATATGAGTAGAGAAGTACAGGGGCACTCTGCATTCAGATCAGCCACTCTGACAGCTTACAGGGACTGTTGCACTTTGTAATTATCCGTATTTAACGTGCAATAACACAGGTACATTCCTGCAATTAGATTTAGATTTTAGACTTTACAGTTTGCCACTTAAGGCAAAAGTTTGGTCTCTTTCATCTCCCGCCAATGTTAATCTTGTCTGGGGTTCAATAAAATAACCCAGCCGATTCCAGCAGCAATGAAACCCGGTTTACACCCGCGAGAGCCGCGACCCTTGTTTCCACAGGATCTGTATGTATGTGATGTGGTTTTGAAAGGAGCTGTACTGTGTATGTGATGTGGTTTTGACAGGAGCTGTACTATTGAAAACGAATTACATTTTATAATAGATTGCCCAACCTATGATGAAAACCGACGAAAATTGTTACAATATATTACATGCAAGACCGATATAACGCTACCCCATACAAAGACAGAGATATTCAATATGCTACTATCAGGTCCTGCCAATATATCCACTTATGTAGGCCAATTTATACACAATTCGCTGACATAATGAAAAAAAGGTAATAAATTCCTGACACAATATATTACTATATTAAATAGATTAATATAATTAGTGTCTCTTTATTGTTAGACATTATTTATGAAAGTAGACCAAATTCTTAGTACAGTTAGTAGAACTGTCAGATATCTTTAGCATCACCAACTATGTATGTATATTTTGCCATACATTGTAACCGCTACATCTGTTGCGCAATTAAGTTTTTTCTTCTAATTTGAAAGTTCTTTTATAATATATGTATGTGATGTGGATTTGATATAGAGAGGAACTGACATGCCGGTGACGTATGACACTCAGCGTTCCACGCGGGTCACTGGACACGCTCAGCGTTATTAACTTTGTATCATCGGGTACATCTGTGGTATATTGTAGGGACAGTGCATAGTAAGCTTTGTGTGCCTGGTATATCTGTGGTATATTGTAGGGGGGCAGTACATAGTAAGGTGGGGGGGGGTGGCGTGCCTGGCATATCTGTGGTATATTGTAGGGGTAGTACATAGTAAGTGGGGGGGTGCCTGGTATATCTGTGGTATATTGTAGGGGTAGTACATAGTAAGTGGGGGGGATGCCTGGTATGTCTGCGGTATATTGTAGTGGCAGCAAGAATACAGTCTAGGTGGGGATGTCGGGGAATTCTCTTTGCTTTTAATGATAGTCCGGCAGATGTAAGGGATATTGTCGGTGGCAGTGAGTAAGGGCACGCTTGGGAAAGGGACTGTTCAGGGGATTGTTTTTGCTTTTACTGCAACAGAGACCAGGTTTATTATATACTGCAGTTGTAGTGAGTAAGCGCACAGTTAGAGAGGGGGCTGTCACATATACGTAATGCAGAAGGACCGTCGGGGGATTCTAGTTTATTTTACTAGGAAAAGGTCCCTAATTTTCGCCTGCCCACACGGCCCAGTCTGAGACCCCCTTAGTGAGTGCATTCAAACCAACTGAAAACGGCCTTCCTGTGGATAAATGCTGACATTTTCCAGCTCGAGAGTTATTTATTTTTCTTTTTTGTTGAAAAACTGGCTCATGGAATTGTTTTGGCTGCCTGGTAGAGCTCTAAAAGCAATGCCATTGTTTTGTTTTTTGGTGGTGTACAGGGGGAGCAGAGGTCATGATCTCAGTGTTTCCATGGATCGTACTCATTTTCGCTGGTCAAAATTTGAAATTTTGGGACTAAATGGACAATTTGTAAGTTGGACTACCCTGTAAATATGAGTTTGCAATAGTGGAACACTTAAGTAGGTGATTTTTGACAGCTCAGTTCATGTATTTTATATGTATAACATATGTTCCATTGGGGGCTGGAATTAGTGTCCTGTCCCCTACTACAACAGAGATCAGGTACAGTTAGGAGAGGGACTGTCGGGGGATTCTCTTTGCTTTTACGCCAGCAGATAAGGATCTATTCCGCACGCGTCCGGAAAACTCCCGGCGGGCATTGCTTCATCCCTTTCCATCGCCGCGACAGATTCGCTGATAGAAAAAAGGAGGCCCGAATATCACTCTCACTTCCGCTCCCTGATAAGGCAGGCGGTCTGAATATCCCTTTCACTTTCCGGAGTTCCCGGGATTTTCTCCTCCTCACATCAGCCAAATCGTGTTTTTCGATTGGTTACGTTTATTCTCAGTCAGTGGCAGCAGAATATTATTCTCTGTAAGGCTGCTAAGGAAACCTTAACTCTACACAGATGTATGATCTGCCCGTATTCAGACTTAGAAAAACCCAAAGTCTACAATTCGAAGTTGTCTAACAAAAAGACGAGGTCTCTTTAAAATCATGTTGATTGCTTGAATTGGCCAGTGAGGTGGGCCGAGTTGACCAGTGCGGTGGGCCAAGTTGACCAGGGCGGTGGGTCGAGTTGACCAGGGCGCTGGGCCGAGTTGACCAAATTTGCGATGGGCCGAGTTGGCAATGGTATTCAGCATAGTATATCATCAATCTCTACATTCTATAAAGGACAGTATTATAGTTAGTCCTTAAGCTACTTTTCTGTGTGATTTAATGTCGTTCGTCCGTCACGTTCACGTGTGATTTAATAAAACGCGGCGGAATGACAGGATCTGTGCCGCCGCCTGGGACTGGGTCCGGATAAACATGTGTCCATTATCGCTGTATCAGTCCCGTAGGTACGACGTCCTTTCCCAATGACAAGGTTTATGGTCCCCTGTGGGCTGTGAATTTTAACCACCGAAGTGCCAAAGTTGTTACATTTTCCGTGAATTATCAGGACTGACGAGCCAAACTTGCGAAATGTGCTGAATTATCAAGAATGAGGGGCGAAGCTTTGTGATTTCTACTCTTTTCTGGTAGAGGCTAGCACAAAATGAACAGCAATTTGCGTATTCATGTGTCACCCTTTTAAGTTATCCACGCTGGTTATGTTGGACAGGGAAACATGACGGAAATATGAACTCTACAAGCAGCATATCCAGTCAATATGTCCTGGTTTAAACATGTATATGTCAGATAACCATCGGAGAACGTGGCTTACCAGTACCAATTTTTCTTTAAATTTTATAATTTTTTTAAATAATTTCCAACATGTAATCACAAGACGTGGTGACGGCACACTCAAGTTTTTAAAACTTATATTAATACCGCCACCAACACAGGGGACAATACAATACTCATTTTCACCTGAGCGTGAGGAAAGCCGTGTAAAGTGCCTTTCCCAAGGGCACAAGATCGATGGCATGTCAGGACTCGAACCCGGGACCTCTAGGTTCCAATTCGCACTCTGCCGCTACGCCACACGACCCCACATATACATGTACAGTACCAATTTGTACTGTACATGTATATTTCAACGACTTCATGGTGACGCGCAACACCCAATGTACTGGCAATGGCCCCTGCATCTTATCTTATTATCCGCCTCCTTGAAGAAACGTAGCAGCTGCGACGTGAGATATGTGAAGAGACAGCAGCTTGTGTGCTAGCGGAAAGGCAATCACGCAGCAATCATGTCTGCTTTATAAGGGTTTATTTCATGCAGACAACCAAATTGAAACAATGTGAGGACTAATAATAAATTTGTAATATTTCAAACTAGAAAGGTAACATTTGTAAAGCAAATGCATAATTATTACCTTTGCATATGGTCTGCGCTATTAATTCTTACTCAAACACATTCAAACATATTTTGACAGGAGTCTAAATCCTTCCTACTATAAAATTGCAACATAAATCGATGTAACCCAACACCAGTTACCACGTTAAGAGACAGTCTGGTTCAGGTCATTGACCAGGTCAGAGGTCAGTGTTTGGAATCAAAGGAGAAGAAAAAACAGAGCAAAATCAATATGTTTTCCGTCGGTAAACATACTTAATGTATGTGAATTGTGTCTTGTAAGTAACTGATTGTTTCATGTGGGACCGCTTATTTTATGTCTTATAACCTATAAATACTATTTTGATGATATTGATATCTAGATTCCTACTCGATTAGTTGATAGTAATATTTTAACCCAGAACGTTATATCTAATATGTGGTGATTTTATATGGATAGTGTGCACTGGTAGTTACAGTAAACATATATAAGGCCACAGCAAATAAATTGAATGGATGGCATCCTCCGTAGTGTCCAAATCTAATGCGAGCGGGCAAAAAGAAAAAACAAGACGGGCCGAAAAAAAAACAACAAAATTCCTACATTTTAAAATTTTGACTCAATCATTGTACAGATGGTTTTGATTCAGTGGGAACATCACAATATACATAGCCAGCATCACATATCACTGCATCAACGTAAGAGACAAACCATTAAATCAGAGCCTTTTCTTGTCTCCTACCTTTGTAGTTATCTGCCATCCACCTTCCGGCATAGCAACATACATATTTACCCATTTTTGGCATGTTGACCACTGTCAGAAGGAAACAATTTTTTTTCTCCCAAAATCAGGCCAAAATCAATGCGCGCCCTTATGTCATCCATAAAAGTTATTTGCTGTGGCCTAAAAGATCAATACAATTCAGTGGCCCTGTCAAGGGCTACTGCAATGCTGTGAACTTGCAGTCTAATAACAGTCTGCTCCACAGTCATCAGGACATGAGCGATCGCACTAACGTGACGTACCGGTCTTTAATGTGCCGTTCTTGTGCGCTGTGGACACCTGCATTTAACTACAGTCTTCCATTATGCTGACGCGTTAATGGTATGGATCTGACGCGTTGCTGATCAGGATATGACGCGTTACTGACGAGGGTCTGACGCGTTGCTGACGCGGATCCGATTCAGGAAGACAGCCCACAATTGCAACTCAGTATTATTAAATGTGAAGCACAAACACGTTGCTAGAATAGCTTATATCTTCCTTGAAGTACGAAAGGTGAAAAGAAATCAGAGGAGGATCTAATCTAAGAAGGCATATTGGACCCTCTCTGGCCAATGGATACTACGTACCTGACCGATTTGATACTGTCTTTTGCACCCTAGGATCTGCTTGGAGATTACAGAGGACCAAGATTATTTGGGTGTCTGGATCGATCGATGATTTGGTCTACATTTGGGGACGGAACAGGGCAGAAGTTTAATTTGTCCCTAAAGCTGGAGTCACATTTGAAACGGGGCTGCTCGGCATGCTCTCGGTGCAGACGCCGGCCGGCGTCATTAACCAGAGCGTACGCCAGCTGTCAGGGTCACAATTAATTGTTCCTTTACGGCTCCCTGTCGGGGCGCCGAGGCGGCTTCTATTAAAAATTCACAAACTTTTGGTCCCTTTTACGGCCGGTTTCTGTTAGGGACCCGTCCGGTGCCCGGTCAGTCTCCCGTCTTGACCCGTGCGGGATGCATGCGATAGGGTGCCGACCGGCTCTTGAATTCCGGCCGGGCAGCTACAGGGTCCCTGGCGGGGTCCAGGGGCGATCCTGGCGGGTCCCAGGCTGGTATGCCCCTGGCACCTGTGTATCAGCTATAAAGCTGCAGGTCAGACACGATTGATCGATCGTAGTAAGGACGACACCAGGGATATTCGATGTGCTTGCGTAAGCGGGGATCCCCCCCCCCCTCCTCCCGGAGTTTAGTTTTTTTTTTTTTACTTCATTAGCAGTTTTTAATCAGGCAGATTACGGCTGTGACGTCAATGACAATCTTCGTCGTCTCCATGGAGTTCATCATCTAGTTCTGACGTAATTGTGACGTGTGAGCGAATGACGTGGTTCTTCTGATCCTTGTTTTGAGGTGAAATTTAAGATTTTTAAGTATTAAGAAAATACAAAAATAATAAAATCTTCGTTCACTTTTCACCCATGTTAGCAGTGCCGTAAGGAAATTTATAAACTCTAGCTCTCCCTGTCTTTATGTTTATTTATATTTATTGGGATCTCAATTAGTAAAAAAAAAGAACAACAGTTCCTTATTATTCTTACTGGAGTCTTTTACACATTAAAATAACAACCTAATGACTACCATACACAATTCCACTGTCATAACTAATAAGTGCAATATTTATAACATTACAAAATAACAACTGCACAACATTACTTAATAACTACAATATGTACACCAATAGTAATGATCCAATTTCTGCTGTAGCTCCGGAAGTGGGGAACGGTGGCCAATAGTTAGTAACATAGCCTAGATTCTGCTTTTCTCCGTAAAACTTGCAACACTGACAAATAGCCAAATGATAACGACATCGAAGGAAGCTTTTTCAGAATGACGACATTCTATAGTTTACTGATGATTGAACACTCAGCCAGTGTAATGCTTCCGCGGGCACACGGCACACGCATTAATAGCTTGTTGTGCTGGGCATGGCATTAGTGTTGGTTTGGTGTGTATAATGTAGGCTGGTTACGCACCAAAGAACCAGGAAAGGGAACTCACCTAACGGGGCGATCCGGCAGATTAGGAGCAGGACGCAGCGAAGCCCCACCGCACCTCGGCTAGCCATGTTCCTCCGCCTTACCACAGCCGATTCACGGTTCTCTGTCGGCTGTCTGTCCGAGCTCTGTCCGCTGTCTGTCAGCTCTCTGTCTGCTGTCAATCCTCTCCCTGTCGGCTCTCTGTCCGCTCTCTGTCTGCTGTCTGTCCGCTCTCTGTCTGCTGTCTGTCCGCTCTCTGTCTGCTGTCTGTCAGCTCTCTGCTGTCATTCCTTTCCCTGTCGGGTCTCTGTCCGCTCTCTGTCCACTGTCTGTCGGCTCTCGGCTCTATGTCCGCTCTCTGTCCACTGTCTGTCGGCTCTCGGTTCTATGTCCGCTCTCTTTCGGCTCTCTGCTGGCTTTATGTCCGATCTCGGTCGGTTCTCTGTCCGCGCTCTGTCCGCTCTCTGTCCCCTCTGTCTCTGCTGTATGCCTGTTCTCTGCGCTGTTTGGTTTGCAAACGTCGCGCGTGAGCTAGCGCTGGCGGAAACGCAACCTGTTAGCTTCCCGGCAGCGCCCAGACTGAAGTGCTAGTGGGGATGTACGAAGCTCTGGCCGATAGAAATACACAAGCTCGGCTACGGAATGCCTGTCAGCGCCCGGCAGCTCCCGGACTGAAATAGGGATGTTTTATGTAGCTTCTGTCTCTATAAAGGCGACGCCGCAGGACCAAACGCCGGTGGCTGTCTCACGGGCTTTGGGCCACAGCAAATTAGTTTCCACCGCTGCCTGGCAGCGCAACATCGGCCTGGAAAAACCCGCAGGTTCCATGTAAAATCAGCCCGGAAAAACCCGCACGTTTCATGTAATATTAGCCCGGAGTGCACGTTTCATGTAAAATCGGCCCGGAAAAAAACTGCACGTTTCATGTAAAATCAGTCCGGAAAAACCCGTACGGTTTATGTGAAATCGGCCCGAAAAAACCCGCACGTTTCATGTAAAATCGGCCCGGAAAAACCCACACGTTTTATGTAATGTCAGCCCATTAAAAACCCGCACGTTTCCAATAAAAATGGCCCGGAAAAACCCACACGTTTCATGTAATATTAGCCCGAAAAAAACAAGCACGTTTCAACAGAATTTACCGCCGTTTCCCGCCTGATATTCCCCGTCCTTCATGGCGGTTTCTCGGATCTTAACTCCAAATTAACTTTTCTTCCCGAACACGCCGAGGTTAGGCACACGCCGAGGTTATTACATTCTCCGCACATGATGATGGATATGCGGCATGTAAACATCCATCACGCCGGTAATACATGAGGAGCGCGGCGCGCGCCAGGCAGGGAGGCAGGGAAATTATAGCCCATCAATCAACGGGAAATACACAAGTTCGGATACGGAATGCCGTAGATATTACTAACTACAGAGAGCTGATAGATATAACAGGGACTGCTGACGTTACATAGAAAGGGCTGTCTTTCACACAGCAAAGCCAGCCTGCCCTTTTTGTCCGTCTTTTCTGAAGCTGCCATTGTCAACCTATTGGAATGATAAAACAACCATGCCTTGTTTTTAAAAGGTAGAAAACACGTATTTTTTTAACGGTAATGTAGTGGGTTCTTTAGCGGTATGTGTGGTGGGTTCTTTAACGGTAAGAGTGGTGGGTTCTTTAACGGTAAGTGTGGTGGGTTCCTTAACGGTAAGTGTGGTGGGTTCTTTAACGGTAAGTGTGGTTCGTTCTTTAACGGTAAGTGTGGTTCGTTCTTTAACGGTAAGTGTGGTGCGTTCTTTAACGGTAAGTGTGGTGCGTTCTTTAACGGTAAGTGTGGTGCGTTCTTTAACGCGAGAGCCTCTTTGATGTGAGGACTTGAGACGCCTCCTACCGGGCACTTCCAGAATTACACGCTAAGTCATTTCTAGCCAGTTTTACTCCGTCCTTTATTTTTTTCAGCCACTCTGTGCATACAGAAAGGCAATTATGGTCATGCTTACTTACTTAGGGCTGTCCAGCGGTTTAAATGATGACGTACAATAAACATAATATAACACACATAAAACAAATCATAAATACACATAAATACAACAGGGAGAACACAATACTTCCGGGTCTGTATCTATATCCCAGCCATGTACAGGACGGCATTATTTATCTAACAGTCGTTTTGATAAGTTAGGACTTCACCATTCCGATAGACTAAAGTTCAATAACTTTTTAGACAACGGTGACATTGTCACACGTGATAACATAACCAACGCCACACATACATATGAAGCTACACTTTTTCTACAACAGGTACTGTATGTATAAACCTATAATCGTGTACGTTAATGTCAAGAAGTCCAGGAATACTAGTCCAGTCCTCGACGTTTCTAAAGATAGTTTCAAGACCAGTCCCGTGATGATATCAGTGATCCAAGATTAGTTCCTTTTCCGCCCAGAACTTGTCAAAGAAGCGGATCCCGACAGCGATGCCAGGAACCGGCGGACGGCGGGCGAGTCTCGGCGGGCCTTGGTCGGCCCTGTCCCCGCCGGGATTATCTGGTGCGTCCCGGTGCTCTTCGGTAGCCTTTCCGCCGCCATGGTCTGCACAACGTGCCCCAGCATTACGGCGGAGTTCATTTTGTAAGGGTCTTTCCTGTTAAAATGCAAGGCGCTTATATTAGCCTAACTGGGTCTGTCTACTGGGGGAGACCAGATTGACTGGTCAAAAGCTCTAGGTGAGAGAACGTATTTTTGTTTTATCAAAAGTTTTAACGCTAAACATGTGACTACCAGCGGGTACAGATTAACTTTCGTGATAGTACAACTTACGAATATCATAAATCCAGCGGCCGTTTCGGTTATTCTCCAAGCAGATCGTACGGTGGCAAGCCAGTAAACAACAGGGCAAGCGGTATGGTCTTGTTCTAGTTAACACTGACCTGCCATTTTAGATTGTTACAAGCCCTGGATTCTGCTAGTTCACTGCCGGTGTTGGTCAGACCAACATTCATTTCTACACCTTACGTTTTTTTTTAATTATATTTCAAACATGTAATCAGAAGACGTGGTGACGGCACACCCAGGTTTTTCAAACATATATTAATGCCTCCACCAACACAGGGGACAATACAATACTAATTTTCACCTGAGCGAAGTGAAAAAAGTCGTGTAAAGTGCCTTTCCCAATGGCACAAGATCGGTGGCATGTAAGGACTCGAACCCAGGACCTCTAGGTTCCGAGTCGCGCACTCTGCCGCTACGCTACACGACCTCACTCACTTGCACTCACCTTAGGTTTTGTCTTGCCCGCCAAACACGAATAATTAAAACACCACTGTGAAGCTACGTCGATCCCATACTAAAGACTGGTCTTTAACTTTATTAAGTTGCAGCAAGACATGATCTTACCTCCTCCAACTGTAGATTAAGCTCCTCTGCAGGTGTGTCGTCCTCTCGTGCCGTTACTGAACTCTGCCGGTTCCCTCAATCAAGTCGTCTGAGAACTTGCCGGAAAACTGACAAACTTATACCCTTTCGCACTTTCTGTGACGTCATTATGACGTCAATTCCTTCCGATTGTAAAGTTGAGTCAAAGTCAAGGGAAATTTTATTGGACAACAATCGTACATTGTAACAGGTAGAAATGTTTGGCAAGCACTTTGGTTACTTTGAGTTGAGTTGAGAGTGGTGTTTGGTGGACAGGGGAAATGTGAGGCAAAGCAAATTCACCTGGGCACCTTATTTATTAGCCTTTGACAAACCGCCAGGCTGTTCGGCACAGGTAAACTACTTCTGTTGACCTCGCCTGACCCCATTTCCGGCGCTGTGACTGCGTCAGCAGGAAATGACGCCATGACCGGAAACAAAATCTTAACATGTCACACGTTTGTTCTTAGCACTAAAAAAAAACAATAAAACTTCCCAAGTCTGTTTTAGGGCCTGTAGGGCCGTGTATTACTTAAGGTGTGACGAGGGGTCGTGTGGAGTAGCGGCAGAGTACTCAACTCAGAACCAGGAGGTCCAGGGTTCGAGTCCTGACATGCCACCGATCTTGTGCACTTGGGAAAGGCACTTAACACGACTTTCTTCACTTCGCTCAGGTGAAAATTGTATTGTTCCCTGTGTTGGTGGCGGTATTAATTAAACTTAAAAAAACTTGAATGTACCGTCACAGATTATATATGTATATATGTGTATGTGACGACCTGTGTCTCCACCGGACGTTCAAACAGACAGGTTTACGGCAGGTTTTTTTTTTTTTTTACAACAGGCGGTTTAACGACAGAGGCGTGCTTTTTCAGTGACCTTTCAGAAGACCTGTCAGTCCGCAGGCCATTTACAGTAGGTACTCCACGTATTGTTGTAATGTACAAGTAAATGTTTGTCTTGTCAACAAGGCAATCCCTCGATAATAGCCTTCAAGCCAGTTGGGCTGCCTTAGCGGTACAAATTGTCTTTTTTTTTACAGCCAAACAAATAAATAAAAAAAGAACGTACACGCCAATAGGAACCACAACTCATGTTTTATGACTTGTACTCAGACATGTAGCAGGTAAACGTTTGTTTCCTATCGGCAAGGTCTATACAACTGGGTATATATATTACAATCTATCGCTATGCAATTACTGCATGTTCTGTGACGTTAGGGGCAGTATGAAATCAAATCAAACTTTATTGCACGACAGTTTTTTTTTACAGGTACATTGCATGGCAAGTTCTTTAGAGGTGCAACATATCAAATTGAATCTACTTTAATACATGTATTTATACAATGCTTACGTAGGTATCCTTCTACTGTAATAATGCTTATGATTGCTATACATCAATTATTGCTACTACACTATTTTATAAAGGTGATATAGACAAGGATCATAGCTTATAATTACATGATAATGTACAGGAGATAATAAAGCTAAGTACACAATAGATACTACGTGTCTGATTCAGTATGGTATAAAATGTGGAATACATGATTATTTATCATGTCACAGGAGAGCCTCTTGACGTTGATAATAATAATAATAACTTTATTGCGCAACAGTTGTACAGGGTACAAAGTATGAAATCTACTAACAGATATAACTAGCAGAGTTTCCGAGATTTCCCGGC